CAATTTGGTTTTGGTTTTTTTGTCGTGTCAGGAGCAACTTGAGAAACTGCAAGTCGCTTCTGGTGTGAGAGAATTGGCCGTCTGCAAGGACTTTTCCCAGGGGACGCCCGGATGTTTTGATGTTTTACCATCCTTGTGGGAGGCTTCTCTCATGTCCCCACAATGGGGAGCTGGAGCTGATAGAGGGAGCTCATCCACACTTTTCTCAGATTCGAACCTGCGACCTGTCGGTCTTCAGTCCTGCCGGCACAGGGGTTTAACCCACTGTACCACGGGGGGCTCCTTTGTAATTTGGTGAGGCACCAGCAGTCTTTGGCAGACAAGGCCTTGGGAAACTACAAATCCCAAGACTCCATAGCATTGAGGTGTAGCAGTTCAAGTGATGTCAAACTGCATTCCTTCTACAATGTAGATGTATTTATGTATTCATTTACAACATTTATATGCCGCCCTTCTCACCCTGAAGGGGACTCAGAATGGCTTACAAGATATATATACATACAATATATTATATTATTAGCATAGCACAATATCAGCATTATATATTACTATATTGTACTATATCATTATATTGTAATATATTACATGTAATATAAAATATATAATTATAATATCATATTATTGTTATTATTATTATTAGTAGTAGTAGTAATATATTGTATTATATTGTATGTACCCTTATCCTCTGCAAAGAGATCTGCAGCTTTAACACTACAAATCCCAAGGTTCCATTGTAGTATGTATTGAGCCATTGTGGTTAAAGTGGTGTCAAACTGCATTAATTCTACAATGCAGATACATCTTAAGTAACTACAGCCAGCCCTCGATTTTCATAGATTTTAGTGGGGATTTGTCTGTATGTAAGGATCCGGCGTATTTTTCAACAGTTCCTTAAGAGTCAAGGTAAAAGAAATAATCTCTACAGCTGTTAATGAGTTTTATTTAAAAACAACACATTACCCTTAGCTGGAAATGAGAACCCTGGAGATGCTCCACACCATTTTGAACTGGATAAGGTAATTATATAGCAGTAGACTTTCCATTTCAGCAACATGAACAGACGTATCAACAATTAAATGATTCTTAAACAAATGCATCCATTATCCTATTAGAATAATGATTCAGGTAACAGAATTCACATCCCTGCAACTAAACACTTAGAAACATATGATTAAGGCCTCTTGTACACTGCCCATATCTTGGGAAGTCAGGCTTGGCCACAGTAGTTCACACTCTTGTTACATCCCAAATAAACTATTGCAACACACTCTATGTGGGGTTGCCTTTGAAGACTGTTCAAAAGCTTCAAGTAGCCCAACAGGCAGCAGCCAGATTCTCACCAGAGCGCTGTACAGGGAGCATACAACCCCCTGTTATGTCATCTCGACTGGCTGCGAGTCTGCTACCCTCTAGGATCCTCTAGATCAATTGGAATGTTGGCTGACCTACTTGTGCCTCGTGGCCACTTGGGTACACTTCAAGAACAACTATAATCTGCCAATTTCCATTTATTTTAATTGCTTTTATCATTTGAGATGTTTTAATGTTGAGTAGGGCCCCCTGGTGGCACAGTGGGTTAAATTGCTGAGCTGATGAACTTGCTGACCAAAAGTTCAAATCTGGGGAGCAGAGTGAGCTTTTGCTGTTAGATCCAGCTTCTATCAACCTAGCAGTTCGAAAACATGTAAATGTGAGTAGATCAATAGGTACCATTGAGAAGGTACCAGCGCTCCATGCAGTCATGCTGGCCACATGACGTTGGAGGTGTCTACGGACAACGCTGGCTCTTCGGCTTAGAAATGGAGATGAGCACCACCACCCCACAGAGTCGGACACAACTAGGCTTTACCTTAATGTGGAGTATGTGATTAGTGCAACCTGTTCCTCTGTGATTATTTGTATCTTTAATTTTTTAAACACTGTCATTATTATGTTTATTATATTGCATTATTGTAATTTTTGGGGGGGTTTTTTGCATCTGTCTGGGCATTGAATTTTGCCTTTTTGTGTTTTAAACCGCCCGGAGTCCCCTCGGCGAGAGAAGGCGGTCTATAAATAAAGTTTTATTATATTTTATTATATTACCGAGCACAATTCAAAGTGCTGGCTTTGTTATGGCGCAGCTTACCTATCCGAACGCATCTCCTTCTATGAACCACTTGGGTACACTTCTGGAGAGGGCCTGCTCTCAGTCCCACCTGCTTTGCTGGCACAACCGATGGAAACGAGAGACAGGGCCTTCTCAGTGGTGGCCCCTTGGCTGTGGAGCTCCTCTAGTGAAATGAGATTAGCCCCCACCCTCCTGATCTTCAGAAAGAAATTGAAAATTTTGATGTGGGACCAAGCTAATGGAGAATAATGTTTTCAGTGCAGTAAGTGAATAGGAAATACTGCAACGGCTTCGGACTATGATTTTGAATTGCATATTTTAATAATTGGTTGAAATGTTAATATGTTTTTTAACTTTTTGGTTTTAACGTATATGCTTTTTCTTGGATGTATGTTTGTGTGGCATCTAACAGTTGCCTACTTGTAAGCTACTCTGAGTCCCCTTTGGGGTGAGAAGGGCGGGGTATAAATACAGTAAATAAATAAATAAAATCCAGTTTGAAGCAGATAATCTGGATTTCATATGGCATTGTAGAAGGGACCTAAATATAATATGACTGAAATTGTCAAAATAACATAAATTACAAGAATATTAGTATGCATACAAAATGGAAGCAATGCCAGTTTTCATTCTTTTCCAGCCTGTTAACATGCAGCATCCAAACCATACTGCTCAAATTAATGTTGAGGCATTAGCAGTGTGAGAAACAATTTCATTATATGACTGTAGTCACCTTGAGTAAGTTGCTGTGTTGACGATGGGCAAAAACAATTTTGAGGTTTTAGGACCTTGCTGATAACTAATCTCTTCACGTGTACACAAAAGATACTAGCAGGTTTAAGAACATAAAGGTACGTAGTGTAATCTATTTTGCAGCATCAGATATATTTGGCCCTCGAACATTGCTGCTGTTTATCCCAAGAGGATTTTCTTTGCAGATTCCTCATTATTTTTTGCAAGGGTTTTCTGCCCACCATCAGATACACGTCGTACTCCTTTTCTTCAGTGTTGTTCCAGGGATTTTCCTGTTAAAAACAGATTTGTCATAACTTTCAAAGTCGCTCACTTTCAAGGAACTGCTAGGCTTCTGATAAGAGAATAATTTGTAGAGAGATGAGAGCTGGATTTTCTACTACACGTCAGGTCTCATTCCTGAGATCTTGCTGTTTTACTGGGGGTTATTCAATGAGGGTGCATCCACACCATAGAATTAATGTAGTTTAACACTGCTTTAATTGCCATGGCCCAAAGCTATGGAATTATGGGATTTGTAGTTTGGTGAGGCACCAACAACTTTGGATAGAGAAGACTAAAGGCCTTTCTTTTTTTAAAAAAAAAAAAGTCCTATAATTCCATAACATTAAGATACAGTAGTTAAAGTGATGCCAAGTTTCATTAATTCTACTGTGTAGATGCACCCTCAATCAGGGCAGGAGTTTCAGGTCAGTGGGAAAGGAGTTACAGGGAACACAGCAGGTTGTCTCTTTACTGAGTAGCTTCATAGGTTGACTTTCTTTTCTGCCATAAAGATATTGATCTAGAGCCCATGAGCAGTTGACCATCCTCCTCGTGAGTTGAGTTCAGGAAGACAAGACTTCATGTTGAGTAAATACTGGGGACCCTTCCACACAGCCCTATATCCCAGAATATCAAGGCAGAAAATCCCACAATATCTGCTTTGAACTGGGTTATCTGAGTCCACACTCAGATAATGTGGGATTTCTTGCCTTGATATTCTGGGATATAGGAATGTGTGGAAGGGCTGTGGGCCTCTGAATCTGAGCATCAGGTTGAATATGCTGCCGTATGAAGAGTCCTTGAGACAATTTGTGAGCAGTGGAAGACTAGAGAGCAGGCATTGATTGGCCAAGCATCTTTGCATGGGGCGCATCCCCTTTTGGTAGCTTAGTAAGATTATACAGCACAACAACAACAAAAAATTCTTAGTGTATTGGTTTTTAGGCCTGTTCCTGAGGTTCTAATGCACTGATTCAGAAAATTGTTTTGTATAGACTGCCTCAGCTCTTGTTTCTTAGATATGGTTGACATGGTTTTCTATGGGCAAGCAATGGCAACTGGTAGATGGCACATGTTATGTATCTCAAAAACTAGAGCAGATGGGGGAAACTGGTGCCATTTTTGGAATCAGCAGGTCAACGATACCCAGAAAGAGGGCTAACATTTGAGGCCCCAACATCTGTGTTGGCCAGTGTTATTAAACTGGACTGACCCCTCTGGACTAAATTAGAAACATCTCAGTCTCCTTTGGAAGTACCATATAATGCAGATTTGGTTCAGCCAATTGACTGAGGGTTGGATTCTGCTAGTACTCTCCCTCTACTTTTCAGGCTCACATTTTCTTGACCTGCTTGTAGACTTCATCTTTTCAAGTCTGAACTGTAGTAGCATTCCCCTTCCCACAAGAGAGTTCTGATTGATCACAAAGTAACTGATCAGTCTGATTTACAAGAACCAGATTCTTCCATGTGCCCTCTTTCTCATCACCAGGCCGTGTTATTTCTCTGTCATAGTAATGTTAGAAGTGATTGAACTCAAGATCATATGCTGGTTTTTCTTCTTTTTTTTTTTTTAAAAAAAAGGTAGCCCCCAAATTAGGAAATTATTTTCCTGGGAAGGGCTGCTTGGCTCTTTTTACTTACATGCTGTTTGGTTGTTTCAGCAGGCTTTCTAACAGTTGCTGCATTTTTAATCTCTTAAGTGTTAATTAACACAGCTCCTGCTATGCTCTATTTTTGTTATATTCATTAAGACTGAACCTCCCTCTTCCCACTTGTAAGTGAGAACATGGATTTAAGAGGGTTGAGAAGGAAGAAATCTTCAAATTCAATCTGGCATTTATAGTTGTAAAATCATGAAATCAAGAAATGTGTTGGCATTGTGCATTATTCTTTATTATTTAAACATTTGTCACAATGAATAGCTTTAGAACAAGCTAATGGTACTATATGTAGTTCAGGCATATGTAACTGGTACAGTTCAGTAGTACATAAACAACACTAAAAACAGATGCACTGTAGTCTGAGATTTTTAAGTTACTAAAAATAAAAACAATGTGAACATTTAGAAAGGACTGTAAGTACCAACTGTAATGTTCAGCACACTTGAAGGAAAAGCTAGCGCATAAACTCTGTACAACCCTTGCAGCTATGAATTCCATCCCGGATTAAGAAAACACACAAAATGCTTGGTCCTTGGAAAAGACCCACAAGTACCATGGAGCTAACCCTTTCATTCTGCCTTCCTTTCAGCCACTTGCAAGGAAGTTCCCAGTTGCACCCCAAGGTCTCCTGGGGTGAATGGATACGCCTCCTTTTTTGGATCAAAAAAGAGAGGCCAGGTCTCAGACAGACATTTTCTTGCCCCATCACAGGCACATTCATCTGAAAAGTCAAATGTTCACATTTTGGTTTTGCTTCAGTGATGTCAGATAACATGAAATCTGACAGTGGGTTTATGTAATACCAACTTTTGGTTTTATTAAATGGGTGCCGGGTGTTCCAGCACTTTATAAAAAGAGAAGTTCCTTTACATATGTATATAAAAATTAAACTAAAATCATGTTTAACATTGTAGAGATTTTTGGGGGGCGTTAGAAGTAGGGCCAGCTGAAAAGCTGTGGTGTTCTTTAAGGTAAACAAATACTGGTTTAAAGTGCAACAGCATTCTTTGACAGGACTCTTGCTCTGTGGTGCAGGAAACCCCCCGTTTTCTTTGGAGGAGGAGGAAATGCCTTTATATTCAGGGTCAGGTAGGCTTCTCTCGAAAGTCTGTGATGGCCTTCCATAGTGTACATAATATCCCACCTCTGCAAAAGAAATTCACAACAATTTCAATTCACAACAAACAAGGATTATTATTATGATTACAATGATGATGATGATTATTGTTGTTGTTATTATTATCTTCACAATTATTTTGTTCAAATATACAGCAGTCCCGGCTTATTCTCAAGTAGAAGCACAACCATGGCTTGAAAGTGTGGTCTATGAATATTTCAAAAATAATATTTCTACATTGTGAGAAACATTTGAATGTAGTCCCTTTGATCTGCTATAGAACTATGAAATCCCACTGGGGACTTTTATAATTGATGCTAAAATTCCTTCTCATTCCAAAATGTTCTAAATGTTTCTGTAAAATACATATTTTATTATACCATTATGCTGCTCTAATATTGAGCCCCAATGGTGTTCTATGCAAAGGAAAGATCCCAGTCATTATGTAAAGGCAAAGTTTTCCCCTTGACATTAAGTCTAGTCGTGTCAGACTCTGGGGGTTGGTGCTCATCTCCACTTCTAAGCCACAGAACCGGCGTTTTCCATAGGCGCCTCCAAGGTCATGTGGATGGCATTACTGCATGGAGTACATTTACCTTCCCACAGAAGCAGTAGCTATGATCTACTCACATTTGCATGTTTTCAAACTGTTAGGTTGGGGCTAACAGCGGGAGCTCACCCACCCCTCAGATTCGAACTGCCAACCTTTCAGTCAGCAAGTTCAACAGCTCAGTGGTTTAAATCACTCAGCCACCAGGTGCTCCATCCCAGTCATTAGTACAATTCAAAATCAAATATAAATTCTCACTAATTAGATTTTTTTTCTATTTTCAAGCTACTGATACCATTTTTGCACTTGCAAAAATAGACCAAAATCCTGTTCAGTTATGAAGGAGTGGAGTATTATCTGGATCTTTAATGCCTGGTTCTATTCAGTTCTCAGAGCCAATGCATTATGAGTTGAGTGTGATTTGAGAAATTGCCTGTGCACACATAATAGCAACAAGGATATTATATGCACGGCTTTGGAAGAAGACAGACCTCCCAACAATAGAAGAATAGATGGTAAAAGTATTTTAAAATAGTAGAAATGGACAAATTAGCAATGTTGAACTAAGAAAAAACACACAAAAAACCTTTATCAAGGACTGGGAACCATTTCTAAACTTTGTTTAAGTCTTCATAATTTAACCTGTTAGAATCTGTCTAGGGAATTTCTAAATAATAGATATCAGGCCAGAAGGAAGCGCAGAAAAACAGTGCAATAGGAAGGAAGAAGGGAATATATTAATGTCTCCAACCCAAGGGACAGTAGCCACTAAATGGGGAGGAGAGGGGAGTATAACCAAATACGAATATTGTATAGATGTTAGGAAGTATTGTATTGGTTCATGTATTTGAACATCTATATAGAAAGATATGTTTCACTGGTTTTTTTTATGAATATGTAAATGGAAAATAAAAACACATTAATTGGATTCTACAGAGACACTTGCAGGAACATCTCAGAAGCGAGAGTCCAAAAGTGGCAGGCTACAACCTGGAACCTCAATCAGTGGCTGATACCAGATGAGAAACTCCCTCCTGAGCACAAAGAAGACTAGGAGACTTGGAAGGTGCTGAACAGACTGTGCTCATAGAATCATAGAATCAAAGAGTTGGAAGAGACCTCATGGGCCATCCAGTCCAACCCCCTGCCAAGAAGCAGGAATATGCTCTGGCACCACGACATGCAGAGCCAATTTTAAGAAATGCGGCTACAAAGTGGAGTCCACGACATGCGAGTGTGGAGAAGAGCAAACCACAGTCCACTTATTACGATGCAGCCTGAGTCCTGCCACATGCACAAAGGAGGACCTTCTCACAGCAACACCAGAGGCACTCCAAGTGGCCAGCTTCTGGTCAAAGGAAATCTAGCATAATGCCAAGTTTTTAACTTCGTGTCTTTTTAAATACATTATAACTGTACAGCTTCTGACATAATAAATAAATAATTAGGGGAATTTGCCTGTGCAATATCAACAAGTATTTCATCTGCCTTTCCAATAGTGCCTTGGCTCAGAGAGGGCATTAAAAACCAGGTCGTTCTTAGTGGGAGGCATACAGCAGGCGCCGATGCTTGCTCTAATGACAGGAAAGTCGAGTGGAGGTTTGGGGCTAGCTGTCACTATTTGTCATTGCTACTATTCCTGCAGAAGGAGCTTGGGTGCCTTTTTTGGACAAGAGGCAAGAGTATCATATTCCTCGGAGAAAGGTCAGGACTGGTTTGACTACAATAGGCCTAGGATTGTAGGAGAAGGCTGAAAAGAGGAAGTCTGCTTTTATACCCATTTTATATAAGCAATGCCTGAAAAATGAATAAATTATAAAAGTCTATTGCTGCTCTTTTGCAATATCTCAGAAGAAGTGATTTAAGAGGGATATTGACAAACTGGAACAATCTAGAGGTGACTAAAATTATCAAAGTTCTGGAGATCATGAATCCCTATGGGGAACAGTTTAAAGAGCTGGGTATGTTTAGCCTGTGGAAGAGAAGGTTGAGAGGAAACATGATAGCCATGTATAAATATGTGAAAGGATGTCACAAGGAAGAGGGAGCAGGATTGTTTTCTGCTGCCCTGGAGACTAGGACTCAGAGCAATTGGTTCAACTTACAGGAGAGATTCTACCTGAACATTAGACAGACCTTTTTGATTGTACGAGCTGTTCAGCAGTGGAACTCTCTGCCTCGGAGTATGGTGGAGGCTCCTACTTTGGAGGCTTTTAAACAGAGGCTGGATGGCCATCTGCTGGGGGTGCTTTGATTGTGCTTTTCCTGCATGGCAGGGGGTTGGACTGGATGACCCATGTGGTCTTTTCTAGCTCGATGATTCTAGGATGATGCTGGTTGCAGTGATGGTGAAATATATGCAAATTCTTACTTAAGATCTTTCATTCAGGACATTCTGTTGGTACCAATCAACCATCAAAGTAATAAAAATATAGCATGAATACCAAAGGGTTTAATGGATCTCAGTTTTCTGCCTGGGATACTGAATATGTGTCTTCATTATATTTTAGCTCTAGAATTAATTTCAGCATTTAAAGTGGCACAAATTATTCTACTTCTATTGGGTGAAATGCAGTGCATCAATCTGTTCGAGGAAAGGCATCCACTAGCAAAGCATTTTCTATCTGCCTGGATTTCATACACCTCAAATCTGCTTTGTCACACTGAGAACCACTCAATGGAGATTTAAAGATATGTAAGGGAATGCAACGAGAAAAAGAAAATGGAAGAACAGACATCTAGCATGTGACATGGGATATAGCCCCTGGAAAGACAACAGAAGGGATAGCTTCAAATTTCAGCAACTGTTATAGTTTTAAAAGGATACAAAAGTGTGCCATCTCATCTACCGATTTCTACTCACTGAGCTATTTTGTTGCCTGTGCTCCATGACATGTTTAGGTTAGGTGGACATTTAAAAATAAGGTTTTTTGTAACTGTGTGATAAATATTTATTAAATATTAATTTAATAATTTAATAATTATTAATAAATATTGATATTTATTGAATCACTGATGGCTTTTAGCCTCAACACCTTGTCCACAAAAGTTTAGTAGTAGTTTTTGCTACTTCTTACTAAATTATATTAACCCCTCACAAAAAAATTGTAACTTCTTGCAAATTATATTAACCCCTCTCAAAAAATGAAAATTTCAAGTATGGAAAAGTAGTTTACCTGAGCCTAAGGCATTTTAGATCATCGCGTGTAACATAGCAGAGAACATCCATTAGTGTGTAGCCTTCTTCCAAAAACTAAAAGCAAGAAACATTGATGAAAGTTATTCCAGTTGTGTCACTCGTTGTCATTCTGACTGTTCTCACAATGTTTCATAAAATCCTTAATAGCATTGTGTGACTGAAAAATCCGCTGTAATACTAAAAGAATATGGCCCATTCCAAAGAATTCTGATTTTCTGGCACATGACAGTTAATCTCCCTTGAAGATGGGTTGATATCTTGATAGTCTGGTTTTCACAACAGGATCCATTCACATGGTCAGCTGCGTCAGTTAAATGTGAGCATCACAAACAAACGAGCAAACAATCAGTTAACAGTTACACATAAAAAGTAAAACCATACAATCTAGTACAGGTTGAGGACCTCTTATCTGAAATATTTGCAACTAGCTCAATTTGGAAATTTGAACACTCTATTTACATATACATACATAATGAAAGTGATTTCATAAAACATTTGGAATAATTATGTGTATGAAATAAACTTTGTGTACACTGAACCACCAGAAACTAAAGGTTTCATTATCTCAGTCACATGGACAATTTTGGACTTTGGAGTATTTTGGATTTCCAGCTAAATGATGCTCACCCTGTATATAACACAGAAAACAGAGCTACTATGCTATAAATTCACCAAAGTTCATGTCAGATCCATACTGTCTGCATCTACTTCCAAACATATTCTAAATTCCTCTTGTTTTGAACACTTCCTCATATACTTGCAGAAATTTGTAAAGTTCCTCCAAAAAAAGTGGGAATTAGAGAACACCTTCATCGCATGTGTATCAAACAGGATCCTTATATATTATTTTACTTATATCTTCTACACCTATCTGTTGCTGTTGCATTTATTCTGTATTATATCACATAGTTTTACATTCCTATCATTTTTGTTTGAATCTATGAATACATTCATTATAGTATTTATTTATATAAATATGTACATTGCATTTATGTTATAGTATATTATAATTGTATGTGCAATAAATACATGCATACTTGGATTTTCAACTTCTTATTAAAATTCATTGAAGATAAAGGGGGAACTTTAGCCCTGCAAATGTTTTTGCAGATAGTTCCCATCATCTTCATCTAGTGCTGGCCAATAATAAACGACTCCAGGAGCAAAAACACAGCCCAAAACATCCTGAGGGGTAAAGGCTCTCCATTCTGAAGTTCATGCTTTTTCTGCTGTCATTTTCATTTGTAATTATTTGTAAAAATATCAGAGAACTAGAATAATCTGGATCCTTTTTCAGGATGCTTTACAGAAATTAGAGCTGAACTATGGCTAGACAAAGCATAAGGAGCTAGCTGAACTATTTACATAAGTCAAGGAGAAAACTAATTCATGTTTGTACACTCCAACAATAACAACAACAACTTTGTTTATATTCTGCCCTGTCTCCCCGAGGGGGACTCAGGGCAGATTCCAACAAACCAAAAGGCAGACATCCAATGCCTCAAACACTCTAGATATGCATGAGTACAATGAGAATAAAATATAAAAGAAAGGATGTTAATTGACAACAATTTTATCACTGCAATACTGCTAAAATGACAGAACATCATACTGTTAAAATTTGATGAGTACAACTGCTTTAAAATAGTAGTTCTCCAACATTCATTCCTTTATTGAATTTCAAATAGTGAGAAGCCTTTCAAACTTTGGACCTATTCCTGTTACAATGAAAGAGAACTTACAGAAGTTCCTAGACAGGGAACTTCTACACTGCTATATAAAATCATGATTATCTGCTTTGAATTGGATTATCTGGCAGTGTAGACTCATATAATCCAGTTCAAAGCAGATAATGTGGATTATCCAATTTGATGATTTGGATTATATGACAGTATAAAAGGGGTCTGGGTCTCCAGCAAGCTTTGCTAATTGGTCACTTGATCAATTAGTTCTGTGAACTTACTGAGCATAAATCAGTTCCCTATGTTAGGTCTTTAAGTTCATTGTTCTGATTTTTAATCTGGACATTTGAACAAATCAACAATGCTTTGTTATACCATCAGTGCTCTTTTCCTTTTTCTTTCCATCCCCTTTCCATCAAAATTACAGGTAAAGCCAAATTAAAATATTTGACCTCTAAACCAAGCAAGTTTACAAACAGAACATACCTAAGGAAATAGCTTTCCTACCCTGTTTATAGTTTCTTCATCAGCACCATGTACTCTGAGCCAGTTGGTAAGATCGGGATCTTCAGCTCTTCCATCAGCATTGCTAAAGCGAGAGACGAGCGTGCCAGGAATATCTAAAACAATATTTTGGTATAAATCAATCAAATACCTGGAGTTGCTCATATTCTAAAAGAGGGTCCCTACTTCCTGAAATACTTTCCTAAGGTTAAATATCCCCCCCCCCCCAAGGACAGGCCTACACAACATAATGCCAGATGCGACCTGCAATGGGCTTCCCTGTGGCCTGTGGAAGACAGGCAAGGGAAGAGTCAAACAGGGTCAAACATCAAGGGCAAGCCCAGCCACTTTGCCAGCCTTGTACCATTCCCATGGGGACATCACAATGCTGGCGAAGGGGCAAGGCTTTCCCTTGTCCCTCGGGATTTGGGCGATTTTTATTATCTATCCATATTGGGCGGGGGGGGGGGGAGAGAAAAGATAAATCAGTTAAACATTTGTTTAGCTAACTATGCAGAATGTCTTCTTCTCTAAATAAGATCTGTACCTCTATAACCCATGCCTTGCAGAAGCTTTGCAGTTCCTGAATAGGCAAGCTATTGGTATGTCAAACTCCTCTTTCTAAAGATGGCCTTGCAAAAAAAAAATCTGATAAAGTGCTTTTAAAGCTGGGGGCAAAGTAAGCAAAAGCAGTAATAAAGTGAGACTAGGGAAAGCTTTGATTGCCTGAGCTTTCTTTGGAAACTGCTTTGAAGAGCTATTGCTTTTGAAGGTCCTATGAGAACACTAAATAGCAAGGTCAGGATCATTCATGCCACAATATTTCTGATTAATTGGTATGAAGGGAAATCTGGGTGGCAAAAAAAGCTGGCAGGAAGAAAATCAATGGATCTGGAAGAGAGGAACCATCAAAAAGACCAATAAACGAGTCCAAGAGCAAATCAATCCCATGCTATCACCAAAAACCAAATGACTAAAGAGAGGCGGATTTTGCAAGAAATGACATAACTCATTGGAAAAGATGATAAAATGGAAGGCTGTAGGAAAAGAAGAACACATTATAAATCAGTATTTCTCAACCTGGGGGTTGGGACCCCTGGGAGGGGGGGTCGCGAGGGGATGTCAGAGGAGTCACCAAAGACAATCAGAAAACACAGTATTTTCTGTTGGTCATGGGGGTGCTGTGTAGGAAGTTTGGCCCAATTCTCTCCGTTGGTGGGGCTCAGAATGCTATTTGATTGTACATGAACTATAAACCCCAGGGACTAAAACTCCCAAATTTCAAGGTCTATTTTCCCCAAACTCCACCAGTGTTCACATTAGGGCATACTGAGTATTTGTGCCAAGTTTGATCCAGACCCATCATTGTTTGAGTCCATAGTGCTCTCTGGATGTAGGTGAACTACAACTCCAAAACTCAAGGACAATGCCCACCAGACCTTTCTAGTATTTTCTGTTGGTCATGAGAGTTCTGTGTGCCAAGTTTGGTTCAATTCCATTGCTGGTGGAGTTCAGAATGCTCTTTGATTGTAGGTGAACTATAAATCTTAATAACTACAACTTCCAAATGACAAAATCCATCACTCTCAATCCCACCAGTATTCAAATTTGGATGTATCAGGTATATGTGCCAAATTTGGTCCAGTGAATGATAATGCATCCTGCATTTCAGGTGTTTACATTACGATTCATAACAGTAGCCAAATTACAGTTATGAAGTAGCAACTAAAATGATGTTATGGTTGGGGGTCACCACAACATGAGGAATGTATTAAGGCATTAGGAAGGTTGAGAAACACTGATATAAATGAATTGATCCAATCAGAAAGCCCATGGCCCTGAGTATGCAGGAAGTTAACAATGTAGTTAACAACAGGGGCTCTTGAACGTCTTTCATCCAGAACATCTCCATAAAGTAAATCCAACCTGATGCCAAATAATAATAACAGAGTAGAGCACCTTTTGGCTGAGTCCGAAGTTTCAAGTGTTTGATTTCCTGTTCTTTTTCTTCTATAGCATGATGAAGCAGGGCTTGAAATTCTCTTTCTTTCTGCACTAGCTCTTCTAGTAATCTATTAAGGAAGAGAGAGAGATAAAGAAAAAATTAAATATTACTGAGTTTCCCAAGAGCGTCCTTTTCACATTAGTAACAGAAATCCACAAAGCAAATTTAATTTCTATTTACACCTTTAGTAACATACAAAAGTACTCTAAAATCAAGTTTCTACAGTTCACAAAGAAGCACATTATTTGTGCTTTGCAAACACAGGAGGCATTTACTCTGTTTATTTTTACATTCCACCACAAGCCATGAAATCTAAAAATAAGTATATTTACTGAGATGGATTTAAGTTGGTTCTTTCCTACAAAATTTCAATGAAATCACATGCTTCAAAAATCACAGCTAAAATATTTGTATGGCTATACAAGAAACCATTACAAGCAAGTTGAAGAGGCTGCTAAAACAAGTGCTTAACACCATCTTCAGATGAGTTGCACTGATGGAAAACAGTGGGTGTCCTAAAAGAACCGACTCCAAAGAGTGAGAGTGTAAAAAAGTGAAGTCCAGTATGCTAATACTTTGCAACTAACCATCTGGACTGATGGATGTCTCAGAAACAAGTCATAATACTAGATGGGGCAAGTATTCAGTAAATGGTGTCATAAATGATCAAGTGAACATTTTCAAATTATTATTTATGACTGGAGTGTTAATCTCTAGTAATTTTGGGGATAATACATCTGGGACTCGTTCCCTCTTTTTCCTCTATTTTGCTTCCTTCTCTTTCCTTTCTCCTGCTTTGTTAGGCCATTTAGGGTCTCCTTGTTTGCCACAATACAATACAAGCAGAAATAGACCCAAATGTACAACCTTGACAGCAAATGTGTCATAAAGTTTACTGAGCCATAAAACTCACTAGTTGACCACCATTTTCTACACATTTTACATTTTTAAACTAAATGGCTTCAAACTACAGGAAAGGAGATTCCACCTGAACATGAGGAAGAACTTCCTAACTGTGAGCGCTATTCAACAGTAGAACTTTCTGCCCTGGAGTGTGGTGGAGGCTCTTTCTTTGGAGGCTTTTAATAAGAGGCTGGGTGGCCATCTGTCAGGGGTGCTTTGAATGTGAGTTTGCTACTTCTTGCCAGGGGGTTGGACTAGATGGCCCATAAGGTCTCTTCCAACTCTGTGATTCTGTGAAATGATGCTAAGAAGTTGTAGTCTATTTAAATTGTGAATTGCCTCTCCTATAAGTTACTTTTTATTTTTAAACTTAAATATGAAGGTTGGGAACCCACAAACATATTTCCCCAGAGCTCTGCTTCATACAGCAATGGCATATATTTATGTACCATATAAGCTATCAGTGCAGAAGTGTTTGTTATTAGAGAAATCTGAACTATTAATAAATTCAGTGAATAATACAATCTTTTACAGCATAATTAAGTTGAATACAGAATCTAGGATTCATCCTACTTTTCTTCAATTAATGTTCATTGGGCTATATTAACTTGAAAAGAATTCTAGCTCGGCAATTTAGCAACAGAAATGTAACATTTTCCATCTCTCATTATCTGATGTACTGATTTTTAAAAATACTTATTTAGTTCCAGGAATTGAAGTTCTATACTATATTTAGAAATAATGAAAACCAGATTTTGCAGATATACCATCTAAGTGTTAACTAACTGGAATTTATTTCTGGTATCTCAGTCATTAGGGTGACATTGTGGTTGTCCAAAATGTTACAAAGACGAATTATGACTATGAGTGTCAAAGTTTTAACAAAGACACATACTGAGACCGTTTTTTAAAATGCAAGAATATTTTAAAATAAGCCCTTTAACTTGGAGCAAAATCTAAGTTAGATTTATGCTGATGCCCTTAGATTTAGGCCGATGCCCTGGTCAAGTAGTCCCACTCTCCAACATTAATACCAAAAGGGTTACAAATCAGTTTCTGATCAAATTTAGATTTGGTTTGGTTATTTGGGGTGCTAATTCAGAAAATTGCATTGGATAGACCACATCAGTTTCTAGTTTCTGATACGGAACATATGCCATCCAGTAGTCACCATTTGCTCACCCCCAGAAAACCATATTTAATAAGCCTCATCACTATAAGAGGTTTTTGCAAGACCAGACGCTCTCATTGCATTGGTGTAGTAACAGTGAGGCCACGGACCATACTTTAATTCTTGTGGACCACTGGTGGTCCACTGACCACAGGTTAGGAACCACTGTTGCGAAGGAAATATTGAACAAGACTCAAAATTTCAAATTTCAATTTCAAAACAAGAGGGTCAACTTGATGAAAATTTACACATGGATTATACAGGAATACATCTTACAGTGCAAATGTGTCAGGAAATCATCTCTTCGGGTTCTAAAGGCTTACCTATTGGTTTCCAATTTTAGTCTTCCAAGTTGAACATTTAGAGATCTCTGAGCAGCTTGGGATTCATGGGATACACTGGAACTGAGTGTGCTCACTCCTGAGGTAGCTATAGCATCATCTAGTACCAGGCAAGGGTGTTGATTTGGTGGGTTTGGAGGTTGCTCTTCATGTTCTTCCTCACCTTCAATGTCCTCGCACTGATCCGCTGTATCACTCTCAGATGCTAAACTGAAGTGCGTCCTCAGTTCTGTTACGGAGCAATACAATTGAAGGCAGGCATGATGGGTTCTGCAACTTGCATTCCTCCAAAGCTAGTACAGTAAACTTGACATTTTTTAGATAAAAGCTTGGACTCATTCTCCAGATAAAAACCACAACACAATTCCTGAAACAAGCCTTGAGACACAACCTTCCATATTTGATACAAAAAAAGGAAATCAAATTGTTATATTTCGTGCTGAAAGAACCTGGAATAATATCCCTGCTCCATAAAGAAACTAAAGAGCTACAAGGAACAGGGTCTTTTTGGTAAAGGCTACCAATTCATGTAATTTATGTGAAAGATAAACCTGCTAAGCCCGTGTCTTGTCATGTTTTATAAGATTAGTTGGAAAAGCTATGGTCTTGGGAACAATTTTGTGCTTTATCATCATTGGAAAAGAAGCTATAATTGCAAAAAATTGAAAAACAACCTTTGTTTTATATAAAAAGAGTGAGTTTTTCAGTTGCAACACCTATTAATATAAATAATACTGGATGATTTAGATTTGCATTATATCTATCGGGCAATGCAATCTTATAATCTCATAAATGTGCATTGCTGATACACATGCAATGGAAGCCTTTAGGGATTTTTCAAAAATAATCTCTAAAGCTTTCTTTCTAATCACTTATCTAGAGTACTTTTCACATAGGAAATGCTTTTAGTGTTTACTTTTTGCTTCAGGGCTTTTCATTTTTCATGCAATTCACTGCATGCCCACCCCCACCTCACCTCACCCCCACAGCCCAAATGTATTTGAGAAACCCATACAGACTAAATTACATGATTCCTATTATTCTTCTGAAATGTGCAAGTTCAAGGACTGGTGGCTCTACATGCTTGATTAGACTGTAAGCTTGTGTACAAGGAGTGACTTGCCTTTTTATTTCTGCATAGTCCTTAGAAAACTATAGGCTCTTTATGAGAGAACTGCTATGCTTTAAAAAGAATTCAAGGGATTAAATCTAATTTTTTGTTGTGTCAGGAGTGACTTGAGAAACTGCAAATTGCTTCTGGTGTAAGAGAATTAGCCATCTGCAAAGACATTGCCTGGGGACACCTGGGTATTTTACCATCATATGGGAGGCTTCTTTCATGTCCTTGCATGAGAAGCTGAAACTGACAGATGGGAGCTCACACCACTCCCTGGATTCGAACCACCGAACTTTTGGTCAGCAATCCTGCTGGCACAAGGGTTTAACCCATTGCACCACCTGGGGCCCCTTGCTAAATCTAATTATATTTTGATTATTTTATCTTAATAGCATGTGCTATTGACTTGTTACATACAAGCTAACAGTAAGTCCATCTAGATTGAGGGAAACTTGGAGGGTGAGCCTGGTTTCTATTCCCTGGGCCACTGGTGGCTGGCTATACTATCTACTCCTACTGGGATGTGAAGTGGCCAGAAATCCACTAGTAGTTTCAAACCTTTAAAAATATTTGTTTTAAAAAACCAGTTGTGATGTCAGAACAATAAAAACTGAGTAGAGAAAGAATGGGATTCTGCTGCAGCCAATCTTACTGTAGTTTTGCGTGTCCTGCTTACAACAGAAGGTAAACAGCAGTTGCCTCCAGAATCCCTTACTGAGCATGTTTTGAATAACAAATACAAAGAAAATGGGAGATCAGCTGACCTCATCTGACATGGTTATTTCATTTCAAGTGTGCATATTTGTTAGTTTAGAATAAAAGCTGGATTTTTTGCCCTGAAGTATGAACTTGGATTTTGTCGCTGTACAGCAATTATTCTCAACATGTGGGTCTCCAGATGTTTTGGCCTTCAACTCCCAGAAATCCTAACAGCTGGTAAACCGGCTGGAATTTCTGGGAGTTGTAAGCCAAAACACCTGGGACCCACAGGCTGGGAACCACTCTTGTACAGAAACCTATCCCTATTGTTTCCCTGTTTTTTCTCCCTCTGGTACTAAAGTTCCTACTAAAGAAGTAATGGCCAAGAACACAGCTACTTTGGTAACTGAGGTATATCTCTACATTGTTTTAAAAAAGCATTATGCTTCCTGGGGGCATGGTTCCCCATGTTTTATGCAACTATAAAGGGGTGTGTGTGTGCTTTGGATGCAGTAGACCATATGTAAACCATCAAAACTGACGTGTGTGGCACAGGCATATGGAGCAAGGTCTAACTGGCCCTAGGTCCCTGCTGTACTGTTCCCAGTGCATATGTCATATGGAAAAAAGAGGAGAAGCTGCTTCAAGCATTGTAAGATTTGTTGGGACTTCTAAAAAGAACTGGACTTCATTGATAAGCATACAAAGAAGAAAACTCAAAATGCTTTAACCATAAACATCTTCTACCTAGCAGCCACCAGTAATATATAAAGCAGAACTGGAAAAGCTGTTGCCCTCCCATCACTGTAGGATGACAAGTCTCATTAGTTCTACACAACCGAGGCAGAGATAAATAATGATGCATCCAGGACAGCCATTTCAACTGAAATTCCTTCTAGATTGTGTGTTCTTGGGATTTAAAGAGACATTAAAATGAGTGGGAAGCATCTTACCTGGAACCAGAATAGTAATCGCTGTCTGTACAGCTTTGCGAATTATGCTGTCTAGTGCAAACATCCAATGTGGTTTAATATTGTGGGTTCTGAGAACTTTATTCACCTAGGAAAAGAAATTTGAATTAGAATATGGCTTTTGTTTTGTTACCTGACAAAAAAACTGAGCTTGAATATGAAGTCTTCCTAGTTAACTAGCTGCCTGTCTTTGAAACAATAAGTCATACTTCAGTAAACTGGTATACAAGTAAACCTTCAGTACGTATTAAATTTCTGAATTGGTAAAATGAGTGCATCTATTCACTGTAATAAAAGCAGTCAGTTCTGAGATAGTCATTTTTCATTACAATAAAACCTTAACAAAAGGCAGCACAACATAAACAAGTATGCCCTTAATAACCAAGCCTGGCAATGCACCCAAAGAGAAAGCCCCAGCCTCCCGACCAACTCTGGAACTAGAAATGTGGAAAGAACGCCTACCTGCCTCCTCATTCAAAGGCTGGGAAGAAGGCTGGGGTACAGCTGGTGGGAACGAGAGAGAGCCTTCTCCGTGGTTGCCCCCCACCTCTGGAACTCCCTCTCTAAATAAATAAAGCTGGCCCCCTCCCTCCTCTCCTTTAAAAAACAACTGAAGACCTATTTCTGCTCACTTGCATATGGAGAGGAGGAGGAATAAATGGTTAAGAGATCACTGCCAGGGCTCTGGTTGATAACTTTTTGTATTTGGGCTTTCCTGGTCCACGCCAGCCCATTGATCTCATTTGACCACATAACCAACTCATACCGTTTTGTGAACCCTTGTTGGCTCTTGTACACAAATGTGGGTGTTTTGTTTAGATTTATGTTGTTATAGAATTTTGTCTGATTAATTTATTGATGTCAGGTTTCATTTACTGATGTAATGTCTTAATTTGGTGTTAGACTTTAAGGTTACTTTTATATGTGTGGGTTTTCTGGGATTTTATGTTAACGTCATATGTTTTATGGGGAGATAGGGCGGAATATAAATAAAGTTTTATTATTATTATTATAACTGTGATACTTAGCAGAAAGCCATGAAACACATAACATAGCTGAACAACAATGTGGACTGGTGTCTTCCCCACTGGTCTAGAACCCAGGAAGAGCCTAGTTCAAATTCCTCCTTAGCTACTGAAATCAAGTATTTCTCTCTCAGTCTCAGAGGAACACAGTGGCAAACATCTTTTGAACAAATCTTGCCAATAAGGGCTTGTGATAAGTTTTCAAGTCATAAATAAATAATAGCAACAAATAAGTTCTTTGCATTGTTCCTAATTTAGATTACATCCAATCTCTTTCAGGGGGGTATTCCAAATCTTGCCAATAAGGGCTTGTGATAAGTTTTCAAGTCATAAATAAATAATAGCAACAAATAAATTCTTTGCATTGTTCCTAATTTAGATTACATCCAATCTCTTTCAGGGGGGTATTCCAAAGCCGGGGAGCCACTACACAGAAGGCCCTCTCTCATTCCACCCGTGCTTAAGACAGTGGTGGAACCGAGAGAAGGTCCTCCCCTGCTGATCTCAAAGCCCATGCTGGTTCATAGAAAGAGATACGGTCTCGAAGATGGGTTAGACCAAAGCATATAGAGATTTGTAGGTAATAACCTGCACCTTGAATTGAGCCCAGAAAGTTGTTGGAAAGCCGCCGAGCTGCTTGAGTTCTAGATTAAATTCTGAATTGGGCTGTGAGCCTCAAAAATGCACAGCTATATACTTTATATACAGTTGTAAAGTAGCAGTGGGGTGAACTGTACTTACTGCATCTTGGAAACCGAAGAGTACCAACTGAACCTGGCTGATGCCATGACTGTCAAAGTCTAGCTCCAGTTTCAGCTTCGAAAGGGTATTTGCAATGATTTTGCGATCAGTTGACCTCACAAACTCTCTGAGACTGGCAACTAAAGTTGTGATGTGCTCCCATTTCAGCTTTGGTTCTTCAGCTCCCTGTTAAAACAACAGAAAGCAGCTCATTACAAATATATCATGACTAGGCAATTGATAACATACAAAATGCACATTTTGCTGGGCACCGCTGCTGTATAATTTCCAAATCATAGATTTCACTTGGTAGTAAGTAACTTGGTTCTTCCTCTGAGGCTGAGAGTGTGATTTGCTCAAGGACATAACATGAGTTTCCATGGATGAGCAGAAATATCTAACAGGCTGAAAACAGCAGGAAAGAATTTCTGAGTAATAAGAGGCTAACTATTGCAGAATGGTTTATTTTATGACACATTAAACTCACTCCATAATATAATGAAAAAACGCATTCTCAATTTTATCCTGAAACCTGTGGCTGATATGTGCTGATAAAATGGAACAAATTGGTTCGCCAACAGTTCAGAACATGCTGTTTTACTGCTTACCACAATTTAAGCAAACACCAAGACAATCTGGATTTGACACCAAAATAACTTCACCATAGTTGAGTCACAGAATACAAAAGTACACAAATAATGCATGATTTCTCAATTCAATTGCAACATCTTCAATGTGACAGTGTCATGAGATAATCAGAGTCAGTGAGGAGTTAATCCAACTGAATAATGCAGTTTTACTACTGATGCTTTTTATTTATATACTGATTTCTTGGGAAGGTAATAATCTAAAATCATACACTAAAAGCTTATTAAAATTGTCTTTAAACTACATATATAAGTTGAACAGGAGGAGTCGGGAGGGTAGATCATATCACAACTTTGACACGACCTTAAAGATAGCCCTTTCTTTTGTATTCACCTGAGAAGCATTTTTGAACCTGAGTGTAATAAAAGGGTGAAGTCAGGGTCTAAGACCAGGGGTCCTCAAATTTTTTAAACAGAGGGCCAGGTCACAGTCCCTTAAACTGTTGGAGGGTCGGATTATAATTTGGAAAAAAAACATGAATGAATTCCTATGCACACTGCACATATCTTATTTGTAGTGCAAAAAACATTTAAAAACAATACAATAATTAAAATTAAGAACAATTTTAACCAATATAAACTTATTAGTATTTCAATGGGAAGTGTGGGCCTGCTTTTGGCTGATGAGATAGGATTGTTGTTGTTGTTGTTGTTGTTGTGTGCATTCAAGTCATTTCAGACTTAGGTTGACATTGAGCAAGGACCGGGTAAATGACCCCGGAGGGCCGTATCTGGTCTCCGGGCCTTAGTTTGAGGACCCCTGACCTAAGACAGTGGTAGAAAATGTTTTATTTTATTTAATTACCATATATATTTATTGTAATCCTGTACTGCTCTGAATAAATAAGCTGGCATTCTCATCTATCCCATATGTTAGAAAGATTGAGCTAACACTGAGATCCTTAACAATGGGACACTTCAATGCTGTTTCCAGGACCTTGGTCATGTCTACACACTGCTTCCTGTATCTCAGGAGAGGGATCTAGGCCAGATGCCAAAACCTTCACCTTTTCTACTCCTTTTCTTGCTCTGACCTGCAGGACAGAACTGGGGGGTGAGGCAGTCTTCAGGTATGGTTGAGTCCACTCCATTTGCTGGCAAGATATACCTGCCAATTTTTTAAAAAGGGAAATTTCCGGTGTGAGGGGCTGACAGTTCCTGAGGGTGGTAGTTGTAATTCAGTGAGAGCAGCATGCTGGGCCACCCTTTACCCCTCAATCAATTTTATAGTTCAGCATAGGAGTGACTGAATAACTGGGTGCTATGTCTTTCTCCATTAAGAAATGCTGTCTAGTTTGGAAACCCAGATAAAGATAATCAAACAGTATTCCCAGTTGCCGCTCCTGCCATCTATGTAATGCTGTGGTCACAACATTCCCTTCCATGTATCTTTTTTAAATGTTAGTACTAAATAATTATTTGTGCTTATTTGTTTACCTGAGCTAAGGCTTCCATCAGATTCCTCACCACCTTGTCTTGGTCCTCTGTCAGGATTCGGTGGAGGGTGGCTCTTCGCTCGCTGTCCTTTTTGAGCATGAAGAAGCCAGAGTCCTTCTCATCAGGTGAAGGGGGAGCACTGTGGTCCTCAAAATTCTCATCTGGAATGCTGTGGGGAGTTAACATTGCAGAATTCTGGGAATCAAGTTAACCCATCTGAAGATAATTAAACTCACCCAAAATCATATATTCTTTTTCATAAACTAGTATGTATGCTATGTAGACTTTTACCTTAGAAAAAGAGACCTGAGTCCTTTGGCGTCCTTTTCTCCACAGGATTTGGCTCTCATTTTAAAAGAGAATGGGTCAAGCTTCAACTCTGTGTCAGGGGAAACGGAACCGTATTCACTGCTGCTACTTGTATCTTCTACAAGAACAGGCACAGGCAAAGATATGCTTCGAAGATACTCTGATTGGGAAAAGAGGAGAAAACCAGAAGGTTAGTGAAATCAAATTTTCTATGGATAGTAAATTATAATAAACACAGACTATGACCTGTCCTCACTAGAATGCCGCGTGTACCTGGAGAAGCGATATACACTAGGTCCCCTTTATTTGATGTGGTTGGGTCACAAAAGTGGGAATGCAAATGAAAAATGTTATAATCTGACAGAACATCTTTTTAGGAATCTCTAGGTCCTATGGTCAACTTCCAACATAACATGACCACAGAATTGTGCTGGAAGACCAACAAATACCTAGAGAGGTCTTCTCTCAAGAAATCTCTTAGCCCTCCAGAAGAACTCAATGGTCAACCTGGCAGTTGACCACAGAGTCACACTGGAGGATCTAAGATACTTGCAGACAACATATCAATCAAATTGGCGAATAATCATATTCACAAATGATAAACCTGCAAATGTGGAGGGCTGACTATAACTCTTTCATGTATGATTCTTGCAGGATCTAAGGGAAAATGGATGCACAATTCTGGAGGATGCAATGATATGATTGGTGGATTATAGTCATTGTTCTTCTGATAGAACCTGCTATTTTGCAAAGCAGAATATGAATATTTTATCTTCCTGTATAATGAGGCATAACTTCCACACAAAAAGTAATCTCTGAAGAATTATTTGAAATATTAATGAAAGACAATATATTCAGTCCAACCCAAGCATGCTTGATTTCAAGGTAAGCTTCACTGATTTAACTGTTTAAAGGTGCTTTCTCCACAGAAAGACTCTGTCAGATTTGAGATGCTCTCAAGCAAACAGATTTCTGAAGAAGGGCTCCCTGTGAATATCTATGTATTTATTTATTTAAAACATTTATATTCTGCCCTTTTCACCCTGCAGAGGACTCAGGGCAGAGCACAACATACATACGGCAAACAATCAATGCCGGGACATAAACTATAAATATACATAAACATTAAAATGACTAAAATTGACTTTAAAATCAACTGTTTAAAACCATCTCAGGACAGCATTCTATTATTGCTTCATTGCACTGCTCCAAAGGCTTGGTCCCACCTGCTAGAATGCATGCCCTTGTTGTTGTGACTTGCTCTCCCTCTTTTCCTGGCCCACTGGCAAAGGGTGGCAGCAACTGGTTGGGTGAGCTTGCAGCCACATGCTATTTTAAATCATTTTATGAATTTTAAGTAGCAGAGAGTGGAACAAATCACATACTGCCTTTGGGAGTGAAGAGTCACTAAAGAAACCACAAAGAAAATGGGTGGTTGTCCTGCTTCCCTCATTAGCTATGCATCCATAAAGACAGTGTCTAATAGTTCTGACTCGCTGCCATTGAGAATATTTTAAGTTAAAATAGTATGTGTCTGTTTCCCAAATAACTGGCTGGTTGCCAGCACCACCATCAAAGAAATGGCCATTCAACTTTCTTTTACACACAGCACAACATCACTGCCTGTTGGGATGTGTGTGTGTGTTGGACCATACAGGCGTGGTCTATATACCCTGTGGCCCTGGCTTAGCATTGCCACTTCTAAGGAGTATTCAAGATCTGTAATATCTTTGGCTCCTGTTAACTCATTTAAAATTTTAATTGTGGTAGCTTCTGGTTATATAAACAGTCTGATGTTCTGAATATGTAAAAGGTTCACAAGGTTAAGAGAAGAAAGAAGTAAATAAATATTCATCTCACCATTTGATCCAACTGAGAGTGCTGGAGAAAAGCAAAAGAGAAAAAAATCCAAAATGTATTACATGTATCTAGGTGCAATACAGCTGCAAAGACATCTTGAACAGATTCTACATAGCACACAACTGCATTCTGAGTGGATTTTAAAACTATGCACACATTTAGGCCCCAGTCCAGCCTGTCATGACTAATGTCCATTCGACAAAAAGTAAAGTTATTCCCTTTAAAAACAAACCCACTTTCTTAACAATATTTACAAAGCATTTTGGAACAACATAAATACAAACCAACAGCAGGCGGACATTACTGATTATACTACTCTATGTTTGGACCCTTGACAGAGCTGTCACTCTATTGCATTAATCAGAACTTGTAATGATTCTAAGCTTTCTCAGCTAGGCCATGTTTTCCCTTTACCTGCTAGCTTTGCTTGGGACTTCCTCTTCTTGCTTGTGACCTTTAAGAAGTCATCGACAAGAAGTTCATTTGCACAGACTCTCTTGTTTGGATCGGGCTCAAAGCAGCACAACAGGAAGGCTTTTGCCTCAGCTGACATGGATTCAGGGATCTCGGGATGTATTTTGAACATGCCAACCTGATGCAGAAGAAATAAGAAAACAATCAAGACCACTTTTCATCAGAGAAGTATTTTCCTTTAAACCTAATATTAAACAAAACCAGCATGAACTGTTCTCTCCTCTCCAAAGCTTTATTTTAAACATGTTTTTATTCTCTATCTTTCAAAAGGAACTATGAGTAATGTTTTAGCATCTTATTTTCTTCAAAGCACTTACTTGCCCATCTCAATCATCACCACAATTTATATATTCTTCTCCTCACCCCCCACATCAGGATATTGCACCATTTCTTTTGACTCAGGCTTTAATTAAAAGTGTTTTATTTTACAAAAACATTGCATTAATCTATACAGATAAAATCTAACCTTAAACATTGCTGCCTGTGGCTCGCCTAGTTCATAAAAGGGAGGTTTTCCTGTGGCCATTTCAATAATGGTACATCCCAAAGACCAGATATCTGCAGCTTTCCCATAACCTCTTGGTCCTTTATCAATTATTTCTGGCGCCATATACTGAAGCGTACCTGTTAATTAAAGGGAAGAGAGAGAGATTTGTTTCACTAAGGCATGATTTTCTTTGATCAACAGCAAAACACGACAGAGTAGGCATGCTGCACAGGACTAAAAGTACAGACTTTCAAAGAGATTTGGATAATTATACATTTAAGTGCGTACTTGTACCTGTTATTGTACTATAAGTGTGTTATGTACTTTGACTGTAGCATTTACATACCATTTTAGAAACTACAGTTTGGCCTGGTTTAGACATAACACTCTTGGTTTAATATACCATTTTTCATGAGGTTGAGAAGCTTTGTCAAGACATTGTCACTGCCCTTTTACCATAGCCTTTACTGTAGTTTATTACACTAGAATTCCCCATTACACCCGGACTGGAAAATTGGTTTATTTTCTGGAGGTAAGCCAGAACGTTAGGAAGTTGTACTTTAACAAGAAATGGAAGGTTCTGTTACAGTGCACAAGACAAATGAGGAAAGAGCAAGTGCCATACTAATTCTCATTTGATGAATATCAGATCTGAGATAGTTTGAACCAAGTCATTATTCAATAAATCCTTAAAACAGGGGGAAATCAGCCAAGTAGCATTACTCCTTCTGTAGATGTCCTTCAACAGAGTATGAGCACAGGTTAAGAGATTGCATACTGTATTCCACCTTTCACCTAAAGGCATCTAAGTAAGTATATGGCACCAGCATTGAAGTGATGCTCCTATGTCATCAGCTCCGCTGAACTGGCCATGTTGTCTGAATGCCTGATCACCTTCTCCTAAAGCAGTTATTCTACTCCCAACTCAAGAACGGAAAATGTAATGTTGGTGGACAGGAAAAGAGATTTAAAGGTGGGCTTAAAGCCAACCTTAAAAACTGTGGCATAGACACCGAGAACTGGGAAGCCCTGGCCCTTGAGTGCCCTAGCTGGAGGTAAGCTGTGACCAGCAGTGCTGTGGAATTCAAAGAGGCATGAATGGATGGCGAAAGGGGAAAATGTGCCAAGAGGAAGGCTCACCATGCCAATCCTGACCGGGACTGTCTTCCAACTGGAAACCAATGCCCTCACTATGGAAGAACATGTGGGTCAAGAATAGGGCTCCACAGTCACCTATGTGCCCACCACCAAGACACTACACTTGGAAGGCCATCATACTCAGACAACAAGGGATCACCTAATTATCTAAGTATATGGCAGAGCTGAAATCCATAATGAGGACCTTTGGTTCATAGTGAAGTTCTTACACACTGCTACAGATGCTCTCAGTGGCCTTGTTGCTTATATTATACTATTACATTTTTATCCTTAATTGTTTCCAAGGAAGTGCATGCCCATGGATGGCTTCCCCACTTCATTTTCTCCTCATGGCAATCTTGTTAAGCAGAGCCAGTAGTGGACCAAAGATATCCACTGAGTATTATGACTGAGAGATGGAACCAAGCTACAGTCTGACTGTAGCTTTGTTCAATTGATTCCCAACTTTGGATCCACAGACTTTGTTGCGATGCAACACCGATTGTCCCCAGCTAGTTTGACCACTGGGTCAAATATGATGAAAGCTGTAGTCCAGCAATATCTTGGTAATTATGTTATACCAATCTGAATGAAACTTCTAAATCTGTTTGCTAAATCCCTTTTGAGTATGAGATCTCTGTTCAACTAGTTGCATTTTAGTTAATTCACTATTAAATTTAATAACTCTAGAAAGAGGGCAAAATCCAAACATATATGTGTGTACACATCCATGCTGCTCTTGGCTCCTCCTCGTAGGTTGCAAAAGAGAACAGAATGCACACAATATGACAGTCAGCTGAAGATGTGAATATATATGATACGGAGCTGCATCAGTGTGTCTCTGTCACAAATGTCTAGATTTTTCTTTATTTAGAAACTAGGTATCCTTCTGATAATAGTTAGGGAAACTGATATATATGTCATAAAGCAATATTACTGCTTATCTAATACTAACAACTTGGTTAATGAAAAGAAATCACATTCCAGAATACATTTCAATAGACCTTTCCATGTCAGTATCTGATTAGATCTCTGTACATATCTTGGTCCAAATTTGCTTTGTTGAGGAAAACCCTTCTAAAAATATGTACATGACCAAATCACAAAATGTATAGAGGGGGTTTTTTTTTTGGTAGTTAAGTAACTCTGAGGTGACTAAAACCTATGGGAAATCACAAGACTAATATTTAACTTATGCTTTCCTTTACTTTCAAATTGGGGGGCTCTAAATTTGGGAAGATACCTGTGAATGTTTCCGTGCATGGATTTATTCCAGCCAGCCTTTTTGATGTTCCAAAATCTGAAATCTTTAGCACCCCACTGTAAGTGTTGATAAGAACATTGTCACCCTGAAGGAGAGAACATTTGAGATTATTCTTTAGTTTATAGCTGATGTTGCAAAACAGCTTGCAGTCAAAATGAATGCAGAAATGCTCCATAGTAGGCCATACGATTTAATTTAAGTAGTTGTTTGCTACTATATTATCTCATAATATTTCTAATTAAATGAAGCTTGCGGAGTTGAAACAGTTCCTATGAATCTGAGCACATTTTATAAAGAAAAGAACCAAAACAAGATATTATAAAATCATTCACAAATTTTATAAACACTTCATATACGTGTTATTTCTCAAAAGACTTTCTGATGATATCATAATTGTAGCTAATTCTTCTGTGTCCTTTACTATAGACAGTAGTGTATGAAAAACTTCAGGTGAATTTGCATAGTGCATGAATTTATTGCTATACTCAGTAACTCCAAGTAAGCTTCTCACCTTGATGTCACGATGCACTATTTGATTGTCATGGAGGTATTTTAATCCTTCAAGAATCTGTTTGGTATAAAAACCAATGGTCTGTTCATTATCTTTTAATGGTCCCCATTTTGACCTCAAAAGAGCAGAAAGACTACCTGTAATACAGGAAAAAGAAGTGAATTAAACAATAATATAGTACAATATTTTACGATCTGTTGCATAAAATGGGAGCGATATTTACAGTACAGGTTGGACATCCTTTATCCAAAATGCTTGGGATTATAAGTGTTTCACATTTTGGACTTTTTTGGATTTGGACATATTGAGACTGCATCCAAGTCTGGAAAGAGATATGAGGATCAGTGAAATGGCAAGAGGCAGGGATTCGCACCGAGCACTATGTTTAGATTTCTGCCATTTCACATATCCTCGGTCTCTTTTCAATGTAGTATCTCTTTCCAGCCTTGTGTCTTGTTTATTTTCTACTTGTATTACGTATGATACATGAGGATGAATCAAGTCTTGGGTTTTCAGAGTCTGGGAACAAGATTGGGAACAATATTGAACAGAATTTCTCTGGGGAGTCCTCTGGCTGCCTGATTCTTCTTTGTGAATGAATGCCTCAAAGATAGAAAGAAGCAGACAGCTGGCAGCAAAAAGCTTCGGTTTTTGGAGCATTTCAGAATAGAGTTGCCCAACATGTAACATCAAAACCTTCCACTGAATACGACCCACATTCTTAAAAAAAGGAGGCATGAGTACTCCTTTTGATTAATATTCTTTGTTTCACATTCCTTACTATGATCCAAAAATCCCAAATTTGGGGGCACAACAGTTTGTTGAAAAAGTAAGGTCCAAATGATTTTTTTCAAAAGAGAAAAAGAATATCAGAGCCATCTTTGGTGATACCTAAGGCTCTGATATTCTTTTTCTCTTTTGAAAAAAATACTGCAACTTATTATTTTTTTTAAAAAAACCAGACAATCTGAATATCTAATTGCAGCAGCATAAGGGGGGGGGGTGTTTTAGAAAAACAATGTATGAACTATAAATAATTTACTACTGTACTAATCATAATAATCCCAGGAAATGCACCGATGGAAAAAATATTCCCAGCTTTCCTTCAGGGCCTTTAGAAATGATCAAAGGTCCAAATTGTTTTAAACCTCTCTTAGATGTGATAGTCTGCAATAGGAAAAGGGCAATATGAACATATTTTTCTTCTGCAATTACAGAGATCAAAATATTGGTGCATTGATTGGTTGCTTAATCCAAGAAACCACATCTGAACACAAACATCATGCCTTTTCTTCACAGCTCAGAATATGTGACATTTGTGCTTTAGCCGTTAACATCTACACCATGGAACATGTTGCATGTATGTAAAGGTCCCTTCTTTGTTTAGTTACAATCCTGAAGTTCTGATTTTGCCAAAAGGCTTAGGTATCATTCTTGTTAAAGCGACACAGTGTTAGTGAGACCAGTGAGCACATCAATCAGGGTTAGCATGCAGGTTTCCACTCCTTCTTTACACATTCACTGAGCATTTTTGGTGAGTGCTCTAAATGCTGCTACACTTGTATAAGAAATGAATTATGTATCATGTAGAACTGGAGTAAAAGTAGGAATTTTTCAAAAGGGCAGCTGTTGTTTTTTTGTTCCTGTAGCATCATTAAGATTAATGGTTTTATGAAAGCACAAACTTTTCTGGATGACAACTTTAAATGCATAGAGTGCAACCGCCAGGCTTCAGATATATATACTCAGAGTGTATAGAATAACACTGGGCGTTAATGAACATTCTGGGAGGAAATGATGGGGTTAATATTAGGATTTGAAGTAAACAAAGTTTCAAGTTCTGTCTTACCAAGTTAATAGCATACTTGAAAAATCTGAAACCTCATACCTCCTGGGACCTGTTCCATGAAAATCTTGATGAATCCTTCTTCACTAAATGAGCCAAGATACTGAACAATGTTCTTGTGTTTGAGGTGCTTATGTAAAGCTATTTCTTCATGTAGAGGCTGGGAATATCTGAAGGAAAGGGACCATTTAGAATTATTCAAGCAGCATTTCTATGCAGTACAATTCAATGCTTCAATGTAAATTATAATGGAAGTCCCAATAGCCCATGTTTTAAAGTAAAACAGCACAGCAAATTGCCCTGGCAATGTTTGCGAAAAGGAAATAAGTTCCTAACTACATAATAATGCAGAGCAAACAAGCTGGTAAAAGTCCCAAAGGCTACATAAATCAACCACAAGAACAGAAAAATAAAATTCAAGCTTATCTCTTTGGTTAGATAATCTAACATAAATGAAAAGTTTTAAAATGGAGGGGTTTAAAATAAATGTCAATGGTGCATATCTGCACTATTTTCCCTCTTCACTGGGAGATACTCAGTTTCTAGGCACCATTGACTCACATTTTTTTTCTGGCTGCATGTTTTCTGTGCTTTTGGTGATACATTGCCAACCAGCTTTTGTAACCTCCAGCTTCTGCTTATATGCATAGTTGTTCATTTATGTGAATGGTGAATTAGTCATTCCAGTGATGTATTGCTTGTCTGAGCAGGCCATAGCATTCATTGGCATGTTGTTCTTTTCTTGCAAAAGTCAGCTCCTGGAACTGACTCTATAATTCACAGTAAAAGGACCGTGCTTTCTATACATTCATTACTCTCTGCAGTATCATATTCTGTGTTACTGATCATGTTTAGCATTAACCTGCTGTGAGTTAACAGACACATAACAAAACAACCCAACTTCCAATACTGAATGGGCTATTATAGTAAAATTAACATGAAGGATGCCACAGCCTTCTCAGATACATCTTTCCAAGAACATGTCCTTTTTAGGGATGGAGGAGAAAGAGCTTGCCTTACTATCTGCAACTTCCCCAGACAACCAAGTGAAAACGTTGACAAAAGTGAGGAGTGGGAAAAATCTATACTGGCTCTTATAAGGCCTGGAAAATTAGAACAGGCTGGTTGGCAGATTTTGGAAAATGTAACTCCACATTCAAACAAAGAGTGGTCAATTTAAAGAAGTAGGCCAAGGACAACATTATAAAACATTAATCTCCTATGCACCTGAAAAAATCTAAAAAAATTTGATTCACAGTATGAAATAAAGCTTTCTGTTATCTGAAGTCTTTGCATTCCAAGCAAATGTTTAAACCTTAAAGAACTAAAGTCAAACCTGGTTCCTTGTCATATTAAAAATGATCAATGAACATAGCTTGATATGGCAGCCACCTACACCCACTTAAGAGTTTTCCTGTTCTGGAGATCATTAAGCCAAGTTCTCTTTGTTTTCTTGCTACAACTTCCTACAATGTAGACACAGAATTTGTCAACCTTTCCCATTATTGTACCTGCTGTCTCTTTCCGGGATTTCTTTAATGGCAATTCTGACTTGATTGCTTAGATCCCGGCCAGCATAAACGATGCCGTAAGTACCTTTTCCTAGAATGACTCGCTCACCATTTTCATCATATTCATAGTCATACTGCAACAGAAAGGACAGCAGAAGGAAGATATATGACTCCTGTATCTATGATATGATCTCATAAGAGGCAAAAACAGGAGAAAACAAGATCCTATCCCAATGAAATCACTTTCACATTGAAATAAATTTTTCATACTATAGACATTTGAGAAAAGAAGATGTCAAGCAAGGAGCCCCCACTGTGCAGGGGGTTAAACTGCTGAGCTGTTGAACTTGCTGACCAAAAGGTTGGCAGTTTGAATTTGGGGAACGGGGTGAGCTTCTGCTGTTCTGCCAACCTAGCAGTTCAAAATCATGCAAATGTGAGTAGATCAATAGGTACTGCTCCAACAGGAAGGTGACGGCGCTCCATGCAGTCAAGCTGGCCACATGACCAGGAGGTGTCTATGGACAACACTGGCTCTTCGGCATAGAAATGGAGATGACCACCATCCTCCAGAGTTGGACACGACTAGACTTAATGTCAAGGGGAAACCTTTACCTTTACTTATGTCAACCAAACAGTTTTACTTGTATTTATTTCTAGGATTATTTTAATGTAAATCCTCCTCTGGTTTAATAATCTGTTTTTGGGAGCAGAGTTCTCAGTAGTTTGAAAAGTAACACAAACACATGCTATTCCTTACCTCCAAAGAATCCCCATCGCAATCGCCTTCTTCTGTGTTCTTTCCTATTTCTTCTGTGATACTATTAACCAATTCAAAAAATCTGCCAACATTCATATAAAAGAAAAGAGTCATGTTACAACAAAACACAACCATGTGGTTATAACATTTCTTTTTGTTGCTTAAGACTATTTTCTTGGGCCAATTTTTTGTTTACATAGAGACTCTCCATGTAAATGAGATCCTAATTTTCCAGATTCCTTTCCTTGCACGAAGACTCTCTAGGTAATTAGGAGTTTCTTCTCTTCAGACCTGATAATTACCACATGGGAAAAGCGACAATGGATGATACTGAGGCCAGTATTCTCCTCTTTGTATATTGACTTAAGTAAAAGCCACTTTGCTACCCTAGTCTTTTCAAGAACTTACTCATGCGTGCAGTTTTCTTAAGCAGCTTTCTTAAATGTTTTAAGTTTTCTTATTTTTTAAAATGCCTATCTAAAGTGTGAGAATACAGAATATAATCTGTACCATCTCATCTCCTGCAGTGCACATTTAGCATGACATTTCATGTGCACGCTTATATCACACAGAGAGATAATGAAGAAACTTGGTCAAAGATCATTCAAAAGCAACCGAGGCTAAATCACTAAGCAGAAGTTCATGGGAAAATATCCATACACATTGTAGAAGGTAAAGTTTCAAGAAAAGATTTGGAAATAACAAACAGTGACCAACTCATACTTTTTGCAGTGGTGCTCCGTACAAAAGTATATTTGGAAGTCATCTGAATTGTGCAGGACATAAAGGAAGCAGCATCGTTCTTCAAATTTTGAAATGCTGAAAGAGAAGCAAAGTTAGCATGGGTTACTCCTTTCAGTAGTGTATCCTGGAGGCAGTCTTTGTGTTTTCAAAAAGAATCTTTTGTGCTATTATTATAAGGAATGCCCGATCCATTATGTGAATCTGCCTCAGGAGAATCTGCTGTTTTTGCCACTGAAGACAGGCAGGCAAAGAATTTATGGAGGGATATCTATAATAAGAACTGAATTGTACTATGTCATTCCATGAGTATTGTACAATTTAGATAAATATCACTATGTTGAACAGAAATTATGCCACATCCAGATAATAAACCCAACTGTTCCATAAAATGAATTATTTCTAGAGACAAAGCATTCTCATTAAGTAGGTTACTATGAGTTTTCCAGGCTGTATGGCCAAGTTCCAGAAGCATTCTCTCCTGATGTTTCACCCACATCTATGGCAAGCATCCTCAGAGGTTGTGAGGTCTATTGGGAACTAGGCCAGTGATGTTTATATATCTGTGGAATGTGGACAATTTCAACAGAAAGGAGGAAACCATGAAAATGAACAAAATCTGACTACAAGTATTTAAAAACTCTAAACTCAGGACAGTAAATAAAAAACGACACCAAGAAAACAGGAGAATTCCAGATGTGAAACAATCAGGGCCAGCTAACACCTCCCAACAAAGGATCCTCAGACAGGAAGCAGCCAGGCTTTGAAGCTGCAAGGCCATTCAAGGCTAATCAAGGTGGTCAATTGCAACATTCATACCTGCCTCAAACAGACAAGAGGTCTTTCTTTCTCGCACCCTGGATATTCCACAGATATATAAACCCCACTTGCCTAGTTTCCAACAGACCTCACAACCTCTGAGGATGCCTGCCATAGATGTGTCTGAAACGTCAGGAGAGAATGCTTCTGGAGCATGGTCATACAGTCCGGAAAATTCACAGTAACCCAGTGATTCTGGCCATGAAAGCCTTTGAGAACACATTCTCATTAATATCATAGCACCCTAATTCAGAAAACATTCTGCAACCATTTCCTCTTTCAGGAGAGATTTTTTAATGACAAAGTGTTATAACAAGGCAAAGGTTCCTTAAGAACACTAATAATGTCACTGGCAAATGCATTTGTACCTTCAGTGAATTATGTTTTCTAGTAATAGTAGTCTAATTAACATAAATATAATGAATATGATCTCATCCTTCAGAACTGGGCTTGTCTGCTTGTCCTTTGAGGAGATCATTCCCATGAAGACAGAAACCTTCAAAAGCCTCTATCTTAAAAAACCAGTCATCTATTTCAATAATTGTATCACATACTACTATGCAAAGCCTGAAACGTTACTTTTGAATTACAAATCCTAGAAGTAGTAATGCTGACTGGAGGATTGTGAGAGCTGTAAGCCACAAAGAAACTTTTCCAAACTCTGATTTGTACAAAAATTCACAGAATCATATTTCCAGCATTGCATGTTATAGCCTAAAAATGAATGTTTTCAAGCTCCAATGTTATAGCAGGAGCCATCAGGGGGCACCCCAGCACAAACCTGGAAGTTTTTTCCCCCTTTGAGAAACTAGAAGAGTAAGACAGCTCACAGACAACATTGAAATGCTGCTCTTTGATTAATTCTATGAAATATACTTTGGGAAAGGAACATGTCAATGAGAAACAAAAATTCCTCTGCTCTTTAAACTATACAGATTGGTTATTCATTTAAAGTGTTTATTTCCCACAATGTGAAGCATATCGGACTAAAAGCAGTTGTTGACAACTTTCAAGAAACTGCCATATGATTTACTGGAAAGCCATCTACATAATAAATATACACTGTGCCAAAACATGTGATTCAATAACATATTAATCTAGTATTTTAATCACTAATGATTTTTGATACTTTGTACAAGAACTGGCAAACATAATCTCCATGACTAAAAATAGTTGTTGACAATTTTTCAAGAAACTGGCATATGACTTACTGAAAGCCATCCATGTACCAAATATACACTGTGCCAAAACATGTGATTCAATTATACATTAATTCAGTAATTTAATCATTGACTATTTTTTGATCCTTTATACCAGAATTAGATTGAAAATGTTGGTTAAAGCCAACCTTCCTTCCTTCCTTCCTTCCTTCTGGAAGTGGTTTTCAACCTTCCTAATGCTGTGACCCCTTAATACAGTTCCTTATGTTGTGGTGACCCTCAACCATAACATTATTTTCATTGCTACTTCGTAATTTTGCTTCTGTTATGAATCGTAATGTAAATATCTGATATCCAGGATGTATTTTCATTCACTGGACCAAATTTGGCACAAATACTCGATGCACCCAAATTTTAGTACTGGTGGGGGTGTGGTTGATTTTGTCATTTGGGAGTTGTAGTTGCTGGGATTTATAGTTAACTTACAATCAAAGCGCATTTTGAACCACACTAATGATAGAATTGGACCAAACTTGGCACGCAGAACTCCCATGACCAACAGAAAAATACTGGAAGAATTTGGTGGGCACTGACCTTGAGTTTTGGAGCTGCAGTTCACCTACATCTAGAGAGTACTGTGGACTCAAACAATGATGGGTTTGGACCAAACTTGGCATGAATACTCAATATGCCCAAATGTGAACACTGGTAGAGTTTGCAGAAAAATAGACCTTGACATTTGGGAGTTGTAGGTGCTGGGATTTGCAGTTCACCTGCAATCAAAGAGCATTCTGAACCCCACCAACAATAGAATTGGGCCAAACCTCCCACACAGAACCCCCATGATCAACAAAAAATCTGTGTTTTCTGATGGTCTTTGGTGGGCCCTGTGATACCCCCTCACAACCCCCCAACCCACCAGGGTCCCAATCCCCAGGTTGAGAAATACTGGCTTAAGTGGAAATACAGATGTTATGTATCGCTCCCTGTCATCATAATTTTCAACAGTCTCAACAATATGGAGAATCACATGTTTCCCAGTCCTCTTTGACAAACTTTCCTATGCAGTCAGTTAATGTTAACAGACCTGATATTTAATTTTGTTTTCTTCTCAGCAATTTGGAAGGCCCTCCCTTCACCAGCTTCAGTACAAATGCAGTACTGTGGCCTATAATGAGCTGTTCTATGTATTTTCAACATTTGATAGCTTATCAGTAATACTTAAAACCATTCCCATGCTGGCAAACTCTTTAACTACTTCATTTATTAATTGAAATAGATACAACATACTTTTCTGAACCAAGTTGACCAAAGAAAGAGAAAATATGCAAATATAAAAAAATTAAAAGTGTAATAATAGACTAGTATTATAAGAAAATTTAACCATCCTCCCAAAATTAACATGCTATAATTCTAATGGCTGATTTAAACTTATTCTGCTGGTCCAAGTGCTGATCAAAGCTTGGAATAACAGGTGTGGGATTCCACCTGGTTGCAAGTCACTGAATGGTTCCCCTCTCATCTGTGAGTGGCTTGGGTATTTAGGTCCTATCTCCTCCTAAATTGGATCTGGCTCCATGCCAAAACCACCTGAACAATGGGCTGAATGTAAATCAAAACTGTAGACCTCAGATAAGCATTTCTCAACCTGGGGTTGGGACCCCTGGGGGGGGGGTCACATGAGGGTGTCAGAGGGGTCGCCAAAGACCATCAGAAAACACAGTATTTTCTGATGGTTAAGGGACTCTGTGTGGGAAGTTTGGCCCAATTCTATCCTTGGTGGGATTCAGAATGCTATTTGATTGTAGATGAACTATAAATCCCAGCAACTACAACTCCCAAATGTCAAGGTTTATTTTTCCCAAACTTCACCAGTTTTCACATTTTGGCATATTAAGTATCTGTGCCAAGTTTGGGCCACTTCTATCATTGTTTGAGTTCACAGTGCTCTCTGGATGTACGTGAACTACAACTCCAAAAAAACTCAAAGTCAATGCCCACCAAACCCTTCCAGTACTTTCTTTTGGTCATGGGAGTTCTGTGTGCCAAGTTTGGTTCAATTCCATCGTTGGTGGAGTTCAGATGCTCTTTGATTGTAGGTGAACTATTAATCCCAGCAACTACAACTTCCAAATGACAAAATCAACCCCACCCCCACCAGTATTCAGATTTGGACATATCAGGTATTTGTGCCAAATTTGGTCCAGTGAATGAAAATACATCCTGCATATTTGATATTTACATTATGATTCATAAAAGAAGCAAAATTACAGTTATGAAATAGCAACAAAAATAATGTTATGGTTGAGGGTCACCACAACATGAGGAACTGTTGTGAAGGTTGGGATTCGGAAGGTTGGGATTCAGAAGGGATTCGGAAGGTTGGGAACCACTGCCTTAGATCCTCTCAATATCAGAGCAAAGGGAGGAAAGGTGAGGAGAAAATCCAACCTTGAATATGGCCCATGTGCTGGGGACCCGGCGGGGGGGGGGGGGGGGGGGGGGGGGGAGTGTGAGACACAGGTTTCAGACAAAGAGCCTCCTTATCTAAATTCACCCAGGCAATTAAACATCAAACAGCTGAACTTCAAAACACCTATTTTTACTCAGAATAGATACCTATCCTCTTGTGCTTTTAAGGCAATATCCAGTTCTAACGCAATGCAATATGTTAGTCATGGGTAGTGCAAGTTCCTTTGAACAATCCTTTAAAGAAAATGACATCTCCACCAGTTCTCTGCATTAGTCATAGCACCTATTAATCATCACACAGCAAAAAGCTTGATATTCAAGCATGGCACACAAGAGGCAGAAAGAAGAGGTCAAATCTCTTTTATGTTCTTAATCCTGAAGCCCATTACACTCAAGTATGTTCTGGAAAACTCTGTTATTTTGTAGGGCCACTGTCTAATACCATAGGCAATTTTGCTAGCCTGAAAAAGGGAACATATCCCACTTATGACCTCATCAGATGGGCCAAATTGCTCATCTTATGATACTTGGACTTCTGATAAGGCTCCCATCAAACAACATTAATCTACTTTCAGTGGGGCTCTGTGCCTCAAGTGAATGTGAAGTGTGGTAAGAGGCCACTTTGGCAACACGGGAAGCTTCCCATGTTGTATAGGAAAGAGTCGGGTGGTGACACTCCCCCCCCCTTTGGGATGGATGAGGGGCAAGGTGGACAATGCGGGAAACAGGGTGATGGGTTCCCCACACCCCCCCCCCACTGGGCCCCACCAGATTTGCCACAATCCATGGCAAATCCTGGCCTCAATGTGATGAGGTCCTCAGAAACATTAATTTTACTTTTAAGTAAAATGTTGATTCCATTTGAATCAATAATTCTTTTGTGCTTTGGTTCCAATATAACATACTTTTCAACAGATAAGATTAAGTGATTTTTTATTTCGATATCATGTTCTAAAAGAATGCTACACATGAGCAGTAAGTAAGAAATAACTGACTCCTTGGCTGCATATTCATTACAAGAAAACGTGTAATTTGTACCTGTTTCTTTGCCACAGTTTTCGTGTGCAATACAAGTGTGATGTGGTGAAAGAAGTGATGTGTGATTAGACCTGGAAACCCAGTCTGGAGTCTGGTCAGCTCTGAAGCTCTTTTACTAACTGAACTAATTCAGCCACTCTCACACTATTAAGTTACAACAAGGAGATAAGATGAGATAGGAACAACATTTGACTACCATCACCATGGGAGTGAGATAAATATAGAATCATAGAATCGGAAAAGACCTCATGGGCCATCCAGTCCAACCCCCTGCCAAGAAGCAGAAAAATCACATGCAAAGCACCCCTGACAGATGGCCATCCAGCCTCTGTTTAAAAGCCTCAAAGAAGAAGCCTCCACCACAATCCGGGGCACATTAGATCAATCAGTACAAATGACCTTACCTTACTCCCCTTATAGAGTCAGCACTGAAGTTCCATTCATGAATGCCTTTCTGTAACAAAAGAAATAAAGCAAAATTGCATTTATTGTAGAAATATATAAAATGATTTTGCTACTAGCTTTAAACAAAACTCCTTTCAGAAGTGTAGCAGTCACCTTCATAAAATCACACAATGTGTGATTTTTTAAACAGATTAAAATGCAAATTATCCTATTTCATGGAATCCTCAGAACCTCTGTTTCCTTCCCCAAAAACTATATTTTGCCCTGTCTTTTTGTTAAATGTATTGTCGAAGGCTTTCACGGCTGGAATCACTAGTTTGTTGTAGGTTTTTCGGGCTATATGGCCATCTTCTAGAATAATATAATAATATAATAAAACTTTATTTATACCCCGCCACCATCTCCCCAAGGGGTCTCGGGCGGCTTACATGAGGCCATATAGCCCGAAAAACCAAAAAGCTTAGAAGTTTTTGTTAAACTTTTTTTTTCAAAACACTTTCCAGTTCATAAACTCTCTTTGCATCACACTAGAGTCCCAGTTCATTTCAAGGCCAAGAACATCTGTTCTTCACTTAGTAACAGTATTTTTTAAGTCAATAGGAAAACTGCTTTAGCAGCCAGTGGAAGACAAAGTGTCAGGGCTAAGGAACTACTGAAAGCTGAAGAAATATCAATTCCATCTGTTCCATCTGTAGCCAAGAGTCATTACTAGAACCAAGCTCTCTCAACAATAAAAGAGCAACCCAGCAGTGTTCAAAACCAGAAACTGTTGGCAAACCCTATATAAAATGAATATTCAGACTGCAACTCCAGCAATGAAAGATTCTAAATGGTGAGTCATGAAGAGATGCAATGTCAGAGTGACCCAAAATACCATAATAATGTTGGGACTTCAGGCCTACACTCAGGTATCTCTGTAGCCATGGACACACTTGAACAAATCACGACTTCAATTTACCGGACTGGGAAATATAACTACAGCGAAGGATCAGACAACTTCCTATGTTACATGGTCAGTATAAATGATTTTTATAAAAATACAATTTGAAATTGTAGAATGAGCCATATATTCCATATTGTTTCCCTTGTGGGAACCTAGAGAGTATGTTAAGAACATTTCTGACACATGTAATAAGCCACAGACAACTTTCAGGCAGGCCTCACCATGAAATGCAGCAACAATAACCACAGAAGATGCAAAGCCCAGTGAGGTTTAAGTTATATACAGTGAGGTTTAAGTTATAAAGTGACACTGTAGTATATTGGACTGCTATTTATTTACACTAGGATACATATTCCAACTGAGCCACAAAACTCACTTTTTGGACCAGTCATTCTTTTTAAGGCCTCGCCTACCCATAATGTGGTCTTGGAGATAAAATGGGAGAAGGAGACCTATGTACATTGCCTTTTGCTCACTGAAGGAGAATTGGAATATAAAGACAGTAAATTAATCAATCTATTATGAAAAAATGAAGGCTCATTTGTGTCTTACTGCTAGGAAAACAGTTCTATTCACTCTGTGAATATGTGCTTTCCAATCGTCTATTAACATATGGAGACCCCCACAGGAGGTTTAAAGGCAAAGAATACATTCCTTCTCTGAATGATAGTGAACCTGCCATCCAAGTATTAACCAGATCTGGCCTTGTTTAGTTTTCAAGATCAGATGGGATTTAGTGCCTTTCGGGTATTTAATATTGGTATTACAATAAAGAAAGTGCTTTCTTCCTATAAACTTTATTTATTTATTTACAGTATTTATATTCTGTCCTTCTCATCCCGAAGGGGGCTCAGAGTGGATCACAGAATACATATACAGCAAACATTCAATGCCGATTATACAAGGAAAGGACAGACACACTGACAGAGGCATGTAGGCTTTCCCAACTTGGGCTTCTTAGAGGCTGTGTTTGGTTCCAGCCATGTGGGGGTGCTGTCATTCCATCTTTCCTGTCCTGCCGAAGAGCTTGTAGACTTCCTCCTTTTTTTTAACACACTACCTATTTATCTACTCACAACGCTGTTTTGATCTCCTAGGTAGCAGTGAGTTGGGCTGAATGGTCAGGCACTCACCCTGACCTGGGCTTTGAACTGTCAACCCTTCAGTTGGCAAGATTTACTGCAGCTTGGCAGTTAACCTGCTGTGCTAAAGCCTGGCAGGTTAACATTCAAGATGTACTCTATACTCTAAGCATATGGCCATGCTTGCCATGGCCTTTGGTGTTTGTGTTGGATTTATATACAACAGATGGGATGTTTGATTGACGATCAAGGCGAAGCATAGCTATGAAAGAATCCCCTGCTCTTCACTTCAGTTTTGACTGTTACTTTTACTAGCACCATACATGAAAACATGAAGTAGCCATTACCTCATGCTTTCCACATACTGTTACAAAAATAACAAAAAGGAGAGTCAACAAAGTAAGATTTCCTATAAATTGCTACAAAAAAGTAGCTGAGGCCAGAAAAAACTCCTTAGAAAGCAGAAACAATAAAATGAAAATAAAACAAAGAGGTTTCCTAGAAAAGTACCAAAATAGCAGCTAATTCCAGGAACCACAACATTCTGTAGTGAAAAAAAAATACTAGAGTTAAAATACTTTTTGACTGAAAAGACACCTGAGAAAATATTCCCATTCTGACTTCCAACTTTCCCTCAATCCATTTAGTTCACATCTCTTCCTTTACACTTTTGCTGTCTGCTTTTAATTTTTTACTATAAGATACTAGGGTCCCATCTACAGTGACCATTTAAATCAGTGGTTTTCCACCTGTGGGTCCCCAGGTGTTTTGACCTACAACTCCCAGAAATCCCAGCCAGTTTACCAGCTGTTAAGATTTCAGGGAGTTGAAGGCCAAAATATCTGGGACCCACAGATTGAGAACCACTGATTTAAATGCAGTTCAAACCTAGCTTCAAACTGCAGTGGCCAGACAACACACCCCAACAAAAGCTCAGGAAAGAAGCTCTTAATGTCCATCAGTACTCTCTGCCATCACCATCTGGGCCTCAAACTGGTTCCAGGATTTCCTATATGCAGATGAACATCTGCATATAGGAGGTTATGCAGATGAACATCTGCACAACAAAACTACTTTCCTCAATACCAGTTTGAAACTGCATTACATTCTCAGTCTAAATGGAGCCTAGATAAATTACCTCTTGGGAATACACCTCAGTTTGCTATCAATGGAATTAATTAGCAACAACAACCAATCCTGGTTCTCTGATAAGTCCACCTGTATGATGCCTCTCTTTTAAAACGTAGGTGGGGAGAGATATTTTTGGATTTCCCAGGAACCCTAACCATTGGATTCTGGGAGTCATAATACAAATAAATAACGTCTCCAAGCTCTGGTCTGTTTTAAAACTGCTGTTTCTGACATGTCTACTCTACATTTTAGATGCTTTTTTCAGAACAGAGATATTCTAAATATCTCAATTTGTGGAGAACTTCTTACAAAATGGTTCCAAAGGATAGTCAGATCTCCCAGAGTTTCCAACCCCTTTATATTTCTAGAGCTCTTTATGCTACCCTTAGGTTATCTGAGGTGGGAATGACAATCTACCCTATATATCTAGATGTATTTCAATCACTTTGAAGTTCTGGCTGTTATCATGTATATGAATTTTTTGCATTTCCAAATCAGGCCATTTGATCCACTGCCAACTAACAGCAACCTAGTAATAGAGCTCTAATTTGAGAAGCAGATGCTCATTACACTTAGGATTAATTTACACTGAAGAATGAATGCAGTTTCATACCACTTTAATTACTGTGGCTCAGTACTGTGGAATCCTGGGAATTATAGTTCGATGATGGAGTAGCACTCTTTGCCAGAGAAAGTTTTAAATGTGCAGAGAGGCCAGTCTCTCTACAGCACAACACTGCATTTGCTGTGCCACAAAGATGGTTGATTCCTTTGGGGAAAGTCCCTTGCTCAATGGTAGATTATATACTTTGAATGCAGAAGGTCCAATGTCCCTGGCATCTCCTCAGAGCTGGAAAAGGCCCCTGTCTTAAAATGTGAACAGTGTAGACAATGCTAATGAGGATGGACAAGCATTCTGAGTTGGCAATACACAGCTTGTTATGATTACAAAGTTCCTAATCCCAGTCCTGAAAATGCATGTATGGGCATGCTATGCTTAATACTCCCTTTCTTCCCTATCATCCATTACTTCCTTCTCTAAAGGCTTCTTTGTTATTTGCTCTCTCAAATATTATAGGCTCTGAACTTTTTTCCTATTCTCCAAACATCTCCAATTCCCCCAGGCCTTCAACATTCAAATCAGTTAGCTGCTTCTAGGGATAATTTAGTTGCAGGATACAACTTGTATAAAAGAGATTACATCTACCTCTTATTCAAAAATGCTGGGGTGGCAGCTTACCTTATCATCAGGCATAACGTGCCAGATAGAGACAGTCTTTTCTTCAGCCTCACTATTGATGGACAGGTATGAAGGCTGGTAGATTTTTGTAGGCTCTAATATTAAAACCTTTGAGCAGAAAAACAGAAAAAGGTACCATTAAATGTTGCTATATTAGCAGTTCTTGTAAAGGTATGTATTAGACACTGACATTTTTAGATTTAGCTCAGAAAATCTGGGACTATGGGAAAATCTTATAAAATACATATTTATCTTTGCTTTAAATGTTATTGTATTTTTCCAGCCAAAAAAAAATCCCGACTTTTAGTTTTATAGAATCCTCTACTTTATTGTTATGCTTCTGTTCTTGGATTCCTGAACGCAAACATGTCAGAAAATATTTGTGTGAAGAAGCAACACTGTACATTTGCACCGTATAATCTCCAAACCTCATATTTTTGTGGTCTTTGCAGAGGAGTTTAACTGGCACCAAAATGACAAATTTTATTATTAGTCTTGGATCTGGGAAGTGTTTCTCCCATACGCAGAAACACACTGCTAATGTTCTGGGCTCTCTCCTCTAGCTCCGACACCTAAAATCCAACTCAATCATTAAGGAATCATTTATGGACCATATTTAAGGGACTGGAAAGAAACCTATGAGAAAGTAGGGGCAATACTTCGATCAGCCTAATTGTTTGTGTCTAAATCTTTATCTACTCTTTGGGATATTGGGTATAGTTTCATATTGTAGTATGCACAGGCAACTTGGAAACAAAACGAGAAAGTGGAGCCTCCACTGCTAGGAAAGAAAGAACTACATATGTATGATAGAAATAGTGCTGATGCAGAAAAAAAGGAGAACTGACAGGAAATGTGGTAATAATATCACTCCCTGAAAGTCACATTATAGGATATGGGGATTTCTCTGAATGTTATCAAGTTGAATGCAGAGGATTGATCTGGCAATAAGCAAAAGTATTTGCAGTCCTGGAATGAGGAGAAGGAGCACAGAAGACAAAGAAGCAACTTTTTTTTTTGGTCGTGTCAGGAGTGACTCCTGGTGTGAGAGAATTGGCCATCTGCAAGGACGTTGCCCAGGGGACGCCTGGATGATTTGATGTTTTTATCATCCTTGTGGGAGGCTTCTCTCATGTCCCCACATGAGGAGCTGGAGCTGATAGAGGGAGCTCATCCGCCTCTCCCCGGATTCGAACCTGCGACCTGTCAGTCTTCAGTCCTGCCGGCACAGGCGTTTAACCCACTGTACCACCGGGGTCTCCCAAAGAAGCAACTGAATTAGAAGAAGAATTATGAGGAGGAGAATTATGAAGAAGTGGAAGAGAATTATACAGAGGAGAAGAACTAGAACCATAATAAAATATTTGTTGCTAGAGTACTTAGGTTTCTTTTGATTGATTCTGTGAGAATCACAAGAAAGCTATTCATGGGGAAGTGGGAAGAAATGAGTACTTTATCAAGGGAAATGAATACAAGCAGAAGCATATACGAGGGTTGAATGAAAAGTAATGCCTCCATCTTCGTAACTCCTCAACAGATAGCAATACTGGTATGTGGCAGGTACTGGCTTGTTCAGTAGACTCTCCTCTACAGTTCCATTTTGACAGGAAACCTTAGCATTGAATGGTTGTGTTGTTAAAGTGTGAAGTATGGAACCCTGCGAAGACGGTCGGTCAATGCGACTTAAGCAACATGCAGACATTGAATTCTTGACAGCAGAAGGTGTCACCCCAAACAAGATTCATCAGAGAATGCAAGCTGTTTATGGTGATTGTGTTGATGTGAGTATTGTGCGTCGTTGGGCGAGCAAGTTTAAAGATGTTGAGGTGATACCTTCTGCTGTCAAGAATTCAATGATTGCACATTGCTTAAGTCTCATTGACCAATCGTCTGCGCAGGGTTCCAAACTTTGCATTTTAACAACACAACCATTCAATGCTAATGCTTCCCACTAAAATGGTACTGTAGAGGAGAGTCTACTGAACAAGCCAGTACCTGCTGCATACCAGTGCTACCATCTGTTGAGGAGTTACAAAGGTGGAGGCATTACTTTTCATTCAACAGTCGTATAATAAAGCTGAAGCACTGAAAGTGAAGTAAATGGGGTATTAAATTTCCATGAAAGAAAGAAGAAATTACAAGACATCAAGAGATCAGAGGCATGATAAAAAAATATTGAAATCTAACTGCCACATGCCTTAAAGGTCAGAGAACAGTATTATACACCTAAGCAATATTAGACACTGTGGTGGCGCAGTGGGTTAAAGCACTGAGCTGCTGAGCTTGTTGATCAAAAGGTCGCAGGTACGATTCCAGGGAGCAGCGTGAGCTTCCGCTGTCAGCCCTAGCTTCTGTCAACCTAGCAGTTCGAAAACATGCAAATGTGAGTAGATCAATAGGCACCGCTCCGGTGGGATGGTAACGGCGCTCCATGCAGTCATGCCGGCCACATGACCTTGGAGGTGTCTATGGACAACGCTGGCTCTTCGGCTTAGAAATGGAGATGAGCACCACACCCCAGAGTCAGACATGACTGGACTTAATGTCAGGGGACTACCTTTACCTAAGCAAGAGAGAGATTCCCACAATTGAAAAAGGGGGTGGATCTATGAGTGCAGAATATGTACAAACTTCTGGAAAGTGCTGAAGAGGGCAAAGGCAGGGCAAATAGGTTCATAATTAAGCTTCTTTCAGGAGAGAACTCGGGCTCATAGCCTTGTCAAAGAAAAACAGCTACAGGAAAGACGGGAAGTAAAAATAGGAAGAGTGAAGCACTTGTCTGACACTTTTCCTTCAGAAATCAATTCTGTCCAGGTTGTTTGCCAACAATTTTTATGGAAAAGCTCTGAAATCACAAGGTGATTTCACATATTTAATACTCCTTCATAAAGAACTTCTGAACCTACTGGACTGCAATACTGATTACAAACAACATGACAATTTCATTTGATATAGTGTATTATTAATTTGATAGTATGAAACAGACTTTTGATATGAATATATATAAACACACAAATCTTCCTTTTATTGAATATTTTCATAGGAATATTGAAAAAATATTGAGATATGGTTAGATCTGTATTTAGGCATGCATAAGGGGACTTCAAAGCCCAATCCATCCCATGGTAATCCTTCCAGACAGCTAGATTACCAAAGGGTCCATGAAATCCAGATGAATGGTTGTAGTGCATGATGGATCCTGAGCACAGTAGAAAGTAAGTCATGAATACAAGATAACAATTACGATTTTCAGTGAAATGTACGATTGGTTAAACTCAGGTTCAAACCTTCTCTTTTGCCATAAGCTTTTCATTGGCCCTGAAGCCTAGAAGCTTGTTTAGTTTGCTCTAACTCACACTTCTGATGTGCAAATAAAACAGGGAAAAGAGAACCATGTTCACCTCCTTGAATGACAATCAGGATTTAAATGTATTTCAGGTCACCTTCTTCTGTTATTGGAAGCTTACTGCCTTTCCAATTAAAATGCTTTTCTATCCAAATAACCGTGGGCCAGGAACATTAGTCAATACTGTAAAATGTACTTACGGGAAATCTAACAACTGATACATCTGACTTTGTGGCCTCAACAAGAAAATCCATCCAAAAATCCACAAGATCATTTTTGGCTATTTGCTGTTCTGGATTTAGTTTCTTAAAATGCTGATATATTAAGATAGTCTCCACAATGGATTTGAGGTACCTAGGATAAATCAATAAAAAGAAAACGAATGCTATTATTTATAATTAAGTACAGTATCTGTATTCTTTGCACCTGTTAATACACCTTTGCAGCTGTTGACATGTAAAATGGAAAACATGGATATATTTACAAGAGGTCTCCTGGGTGAGTGTATAGGAAGGAAAGGAGCTCATGCAGCCTACTACCCTCCAACAGTTGCCCACAACGTATCACTCCCCTGGCAGGACACAGTTGCCCACCCCTAATCCATTACTTCTGAGAATCCCATATACTCCATGTTAAAAATACTTCAAAACCTTAATCAAAATCAGTTTATTAGTATTTTTTATTCGAACAACTTTTGCTCTGCCTAAGTATCTTAAGGCATTCTTGTCTGCTCCTGGAATCCAATCAGGGACAGCCCTGGTTAAGACTTGTATGCGAGACCACCAGCAAATACTAGGTGCTGTATGCTATATTTTAGAGGAAAAAACTTCGGAGTCTTCCTTGCCTGAGAAAACACTATAAGCCCAATGTGTCAATAGGCAACTTGAAGGCATCAACATACACATCCCTTCCTTTATTGTAGGACTCAGGGTTGTGTTTAAGCAAACATAAAGAATTTGAAAATATTTGAAATTTAAAAATAACAAAATACTCTAAAAAGGACAACAGCATGCTACATAGATTAACAATTAAAGATAGCTTAAAAGGCTCAATCATTCAAAAATTATGTTTATGTACATTTTAAAAAATAAAGTAAAAGCTTGGTTAAAAAGGAATGTTTTTACATGATGCTAGAAATAAACCAACATTTGTTCTAATTGGATCTTGACAGGAAGGGGTTCCACAAATGGGGAGCCACCAAAAAGAAGCCTCTCACCCATATTCACCCACAACATATCACTCCCCTGGCAGGACATAGAGGAGACCCATCCCAACAAATATAAGCCTGGGGGCAGGCATATAAGGAGAGACTTTGAGCAGGAAACCCCAAGCCGTTAAGGACTTTGAATGTCAGCAGCAGAATCTTGAATTCAGACCAGAAGCAAATGACAACTATAGCAGCTCCATTAACACCAGAATTATGCATTTTCTATATAGTATGTTTCAGACACCAATCCTGCTGCTGCATTTTGCACAAGGTTTGACTTCCAAGTCATATGAAAGGCTGTACTGCATAAATAACATTACAGTTTCTAATCAGGAAGTTACTAGTGTTGATTATGTGGTTAATGTATTCCTGTTCTGAAAAGACCATAGTACAAACTGGTGTCAAGCATTCTGAGTCACAAAGTCCACTTGGATCTTGAGTGAGAGAGACAGGTCTAGGAACGCTCCAAGGCCATGCACCTGCTCCTTCAGAGGAAGGTGTGCCATGCCATCCAAAGCAGAGTGTTCACCCAACTCTCAGACATGAGAACTATCAATCCAGAAAACCTCCTTTAGCCCCATTTATTTGCACTCAATCAGCCTGGTATGGCATCCAGACATTGACCAGCATCTGTGCATGCTAATTATAATAAGACAGTTAGCTAAGGGTCATTAACAAACTGATGGCATTCCCAGCTCTGCTAGTGGGTTTACATGGATACTAAAAAGCATGGGAGACAAGATGGAATCCAATGGCTACCAATGGCTTAATGGGAATGGATCTAAAAAGGTACCTCCAATTTTACACCCTGGAACTGTTTTCAATAGGAGAGGAACCACTATAATACATTGTACTACATCCCCATCTGGCAAAGTTGATACTATGATCAAAGGTGTCCCATGTTTCTGAGTGATTCAAAAAGATTAGCACGGTAGCAATCCTCCTGTCCTCCACCTGTCATATGTCAGAAAAAAGTAAGGCTGCTCCAGTGCCATGCCCTGGCTTGAAACCAAATGTAATGTAACATGATCACAACAACAGCAAAGATCAGATGAGGCAACAGTCCAGTTGTTGTGGTTATGTTACCCAACAGGAAAGACCAGGTCAAAGGTATGTCTTGCCATACCTCAGAGCAAGACACCTCAGATTTAAAGCACCTCTATACCATCTTTCCTTTATCTGGCCTGTCTTGCCCACACTGCCATATCTCCCTTTATGTGAATTTATCCTGATGGAGCATACCTTCAAATTAAGAAAGAAAAAACCCCAAACTAAGTATGATTTACACATTACTGGGTTACATTTGTGTCTTCACTGCTATTTCCACAGCATGTGTAACTTGGAACATAGATGGTTTTCAGGAGTCATACAACACAGAGTTAGATGACATACGGTTGTCCAGATAGTAGCTATAGTTCTCACCAACCCTTGCCAGCATAGCCAATGGTAAGGGATGGTAAGAGTCCAAGTAAGTCTGCATTCTTTGTTGAATCACCTCTATTGTTCATTATCATTTGGCACGGCATGTCCAAAACCTTTGGAATCTCTCACTGAAGGAATCATTGACTGTGATCTTCTGAAAAACCATCTGTACAAGACTTTGTAGAACCACTACTAATCTACATCAGAGTGGACAGACTCTACTCCTAAATGTCAGCCTCACAAAAATAAATAAATAAAACAAAAACTAAACTTATTTACTGTAAAAGAACATTTGAAGAGAAAAACAGAGAGACAGCTGGAAAATCAGTTTGGTTGATATTTCAGTGTTAGTTGAACAACTAAATTTTCCAGACTTAAAGAGGAATTGAAAGATTGAAATGTAGTTAGTTCACCATATTCATGCATTTCTGAGGTTTGCAATGTAGCTCAAAAAAAGTAAAGTTGCATGTTTGAAACCATGAAGACATAAAATATTCATATTTGAAATCACATGAAGAACATTCATATATTTTGAAAAGAAACACAACAAAGCTTTGCGAAGTTGAAAAATATGCTTGCAATTGTTCTTAAAAGAATATGCACATTTTAATGTTTATATATACACACGCGCACAAAACACAAAATCCACACAGAACAAAGATTTCTTTCACTGTTAAGTTAGAAAAAAAATGACAAATTGATTAAAATCAACTGTCGGTTTTGTTCAACCCTCCAGTAGGTTTGTGTGAATGAATTTGCATATTTCCTTCCTCTAACAACCACAACTTCCTGAGTACCAGGAACTTTGTCCTTAATTATTAGCATATATTTGTCAGCTTAAACAACCAATATTTTGCATGTAACTCTAGCTGAAGGGCAAGCCCAGTGTGCAACACTGTAGTGGATGAAACAACAGACTGGATTGCTTATGTTTCCCCCCCAGAGAGCCCTTTTATCAATATATTGGATTCTTTAAAAATTGTTTCTATAAGGTTTAGGAATGCAAATTAACTGTTTGCACTTTAATGGTCATCAATGAGGTGCTCTAGTCCCTCTCTCAAGTACAGACTCAATGTACAGACTCTGGGTGAGTATAGGTACATGCGCTATGTACTGAAATGAAGGCCAAAGCGCTATCCCTAATCACAGCTAAGGCAAGCCCAATGAAGCAATTGCATCAACACTTATGTACATTCCAACAGCAGGGAAATTCCTCTTCTACACAATCGTTAAAAGTATCCCAGTATAAGGCAACTGAGTACCCCATCTTTGGAAATCCAAAATATTCCAAAATTCAAAATTGTCCATATTTTGAGACTGGGATGGTGACAAGTTTGCTTTCTGGTGGTTCAAGGTACACAAACCTTGTCCGATGGACATTAAAATACTTTGTATAAAACACTTTGTATAAAAGGCTACGTGTACAAGATGTATATAAAACATAGATCTAAAAAAAAATCCCAAATCTGGTCAGAAGCATTTTGAATCAATTTAAACTATATCATCAATGCAAATAATTCAGGAGCTACATAACTGAGTGAAGCAAAAAATGACCATTGTGGCATCGAATTGTGCCAGTTGTAAGTTGCCTTAAGTCACCTCCAGGCTGAGAAAGGCAGAATAGAAATGCCATAAAATAAATAAATGAAAGAATGCCTTGATCCAAGTTTCATTTTAGCTATGTGATTCAGTGGCTCGCTACAGTTAGTCCCCAAGTTATAGATCTACATTTCATAATTAAGAATTTGGATGAGAAAACAGAAAGTGAGAGATGTCTACCTCCAGGGAGAGAAATTCACTCATAGAAGAGTTATCATGGGGAAAAGGTGTCTCCACTGAAATGTTATCACCAATGCTTGTTTCCCCATTAAGCCATTTTTTTCCAAAATTCAATCACAGGGACAGAAAGTGAGTGAAATCTTTTGAACAAGGACACAAACAGCAAAACAAACACCACAGGGAAGTTAATCCTTCCCTGTGCTTCAAATATGCTTTAAACATGCATATATGTGTGTGTATGTATGTGTAGGTGGGTAGGTAGATGTGTAAAATTATAGTGCAAAATTATAAAGTGTGAAAAATGAAATGCTTTAAGAACTCAAGTGTCATTGAACAAAGTTGCTATGCTATGCACATTTATATGGATGGAAGTGTGCATAGATACCAAAGGGTTGAATTTTCATTTCTACATACTTTCATGCAAGCACTGAAAAAATGTAAGGAAAAACATTGCTTCACTTGTATCTCTGCTCTTTCTATTTTCATGTTAGTTCTTATTTAGTAACCTGTTATGTTCTCCGATGTCAGCAAGCTCCAAACCAGGCATTTGCCAGGTCTCCTTAGCCAGAAAGGTCCCGCCATCCTAGCAATGCTACCATTCCAACTTTGTAGAAAGGAGCCAAACTGATAAAATGCAGCTACAGATCACTTTTAGGCTGCATACGTTGTCTATTCGTGGGCTAGCTGTGGCTCCCATAACTGATGTCCTTCCAAAATCAGGAGTCAGCAGTACCTCTAAACCAAGTTACAACCCCTTCCTTCCACAATTTGATCTGAAATCAACTGACCGCATTGCAGTTGCCTAGCAACTACATTTTGCAATTGCACTCTTCCTCATCTTTGAACAAACAGTGTAATTTTTGTAAGACTGGATATTCTATGAATAACAACTGTTGCAAACTTGCTGTGTCGTTTTCTGCAATTGCACCTTTTAAAAAATAAATGT